TCGGTCTCATTTTTTGCTGGGTACAATCTAGAGGGGAGTTGTCCCCTCCCCGACCCAAGTAGATAGAGGTTCAGATCTTCGTTTGACTTAGACTAAATCCCCAACTGATTCAACTATGTACTATAATGCTTCATTACAGGCACAGCCCTGAAATATGTACCGCCTGGCCCAGGTAAGCAGGCTCAATTGGTAGTTTTTTATCACATTGTCCATTTTAGGTGTTAAATTCAAGCAGGCATATTCCTTTTCAAATTTAGCTCCCCTGTTTTCAAATTTATATTTCTGTCATCCCAATATTCTGACCTTTACTAATGTGTTTCATTGTTTTGATTAGATATGGATTTATAAGAGTGTCATTTAAAAATACCAAATTAGATTTGGTATAATTATAAACGGAGAGCATATCACGTTTGCCACGCCATACACAAAGGTTAAGGTGGATAATGGCACATTCAACAAGCTAAACTCAGTTATATTCCGATAAACAGGTCAGTTTTGTAATGTTGTTATTTTTTGTTTTCCAAGCAAACTGCCAAGTTCGCTTAAACCAATTTAGAAATTCATCCACTTACTCGGGTTATATCGACTTCATTTTCGACGTTATATCTTCATCTCGAAAATGTTTTCATTTCAAATAGTTACTAACTATTGCGATGAGCCAGACTGGGATGTTTACAGCGACCAATGCTACAAAATCTTCCTGACCAAAAAAACGTGGACTGACGCTGAAAAAGCCTGCCAGAACGAAAACGGGTACTTGGTCAGCGTTCCCGATGACGGCGTGCAATCCTTTATGTCTGGTAAGCTTTTTTGCCTAAAGGGTCCTCTGTCTTGACGTCATAGTCGTGTTTCTCCGTTAAGTGGCTGCTGAAAGTATAGTTGGCCGTTGGTACAAAAATAAAAGAATAATTCCAAAAGTGTTAAAAATCCCACGAGGCTATCAGAACACCAGTTACTAACATGCGTACTACTAAATATTTAACTAAAATACAACCTTTTAAAAAAAGTGGGAAAAGGGGATCTTCTACCCACGGAAAAGAAAAAGATGTTGATTGAAATGAATTTCCTCAAAATTCGGTTCGGTTTCCAAAACGAAATTTCCATTTTTGCACTTCTCATCTGCAGGACGCATTAACGTGGTGAAGTTCCGTGTTTGGCTGGGTTTAAATGACAGGGCCAGTGAAACAAATTTTAAGTGGTCAGACAGTGCCAAAACACCGGTAAGGAAATCTGATTTTCTGCTCGTCGGGACGTTTTTTGTTTTATTTTTTTTTCAATCATTGAAAGCATCAGCACTTAAAAAAGAGCAAGGGGCGATTTCCTATTCTGTCATTCCGAACTCCATAGTTAGCAAAAACCATTTTGAGGCTTTCATAACTTTTAAAGTGACTCGTGTGTATGGCATTATCTCCTTGAAGGTATGTGTGACCTTCAAACCCCACACATAGAGAGGGCATTTTCATTTTAGGAGTTAAAGTAGGACTAAGTCTGGCACCCTCCGTAATATGACCCAGTGAAAGCGACGGGCAATTCCATGCATTTGGCCTTATTTAGGGATTATCAAAAGCGCACCCACTTACGAAATGATACCACCATATTTCTTTGGGAGAAGTGGACAGGTGAAAATATCAAACAATCGTTTTGAGGAGAATCCCCACGCCCCCATCTCTCCAAATCTTGGATACGCCACCGGACAGCCTACGTTCAGAACTCAGAAATAATTTGCAATCTTTCACGCAGTTGCATTTCTTGCGTAACAATCTCAGTTACTCCGACTCACAACTGCAAAGATCGCTCATAAATGGGCCTCATGCCCTTTTGAGAATGAAAAATGAACAAAACACAAAGGCGCTGTTTGGATAGGGAAAGGGTTTTGTATTTATCACAGTCCATTCCCCGGGTTACAAGTATTTGTGTGAGTACATTGTGGCAATGAGCTAGCTGCCCTCAATGAAATCACACCAGCAACATCTTTCATCCAGAAAAGCATTTAAAAGTTTAAATCTTAAAAAGAAACCATATTCAATACGTCCAAGCCGAATAGGAATTGTGTAAAGTTGCACAAAAGCTGCATTAAAAGCTCTTCGTGTTGCAGGATTGTTTTCGTGTTTATGTGTTTATTTTGCAGCTCGGTACTTATAATAACTGGGCTCCCGGATATCCAGACGCTGCAGATTGTGTGAGCATGGTGGGATGGACGACAAACTATGGTCTTTGGAAGACCAGAACCTGTACCGAGTTAAATTATTACGCGTGCCAGAAACAAGCAAGTAAGTTTGAAAAAGGAAAAGTGAAAACCAGAAGGCGTAGTACATTGCATGACGATCTGAGAGAATACATATGTTTGGCGTCTGCATTATCTTTTCTGCCACGAAATATGGACCTTCTATGACGCATTGAAGGAACTCGGCTATGCTTTTGTTTTTTCAACAGGGGCATTTTTTTTCTTTTCAATGGGGGCAATTCACAATCTAGTGCACTACCAAGATGTTGCCAAGGACAGGCCGTTATTCAAGTTTACGGTCGACAAAAGCATGTCTGCCTTGCGGCGATTTGTATTTGAGCGTATGTCAGATATCTTGGGGAAGTTTTTGATGGACGGAAACATTCAATGTGATAGAAAAGAGAAGGATTTGTTAAAACTACCACTCGAAATGTCTTTAGTAATCTTCCATGGCGAACAAACTTCGGGACTAATTCAAGTTCCCTACGCGCAGCTGACGAATAGAATTTGCAGACCATCTACTGCAAAAGTGGCCTTTCCATGGCAAACCTCTTGATGGCGTGCATGTACTGTAAATTTCCCAGAGCTGCATGAGTTGGCCAACTTCAGACTTTGGAACCAAAATGGCTGTTCATTGAGTGTGCACTAAGCATGCAGCCAGTATGCTGATTGGTCCGAAAAAATTGAAACATTCATGTCGCAGCTTTTTCTACATGTGGGAACAGCTCTGGAATCACCCATATCCAGGGCCTGTTAGCTCCACGTGGATCCGGATTGCAATCAGTGCTCCTACATTGAGCCTGTTTGGTTCACACCATACATGAAGGGATTTTGATGTCCGCAAACCAACGATGGATCGTGATCGTGATCCAGATCACTGATCGAGATCCATATCCCTGTTAAACAAACAAGTCCTTTGCCCCTACCATGAAAATGTACCAGTATCTTTGTGTCCCAATCAACCTAATTTCCGGCTATTGTAAAGAGTGTTTTGGTATTTTTATGTTTGTTTTGTGCTGATGAAAAAATCCCTATTCTTGATAAGCAAAACGGTGATGTCATTCCAATCAGGAAAACTCATGCTACATTGATTTGTGCACAAAACTCTCGAAACTTGTGAAGTTTTGCTGTAATAAATGTTCTTTTATTTAGTGACATCACAACAAAAGCGCCGTCAGTTACACAGTGAAGCGTGAATTTTACATGTCTAGAAAAGTGCATTTTTTGATTCAGTCAACCCAAATTGATGTCTGGAAAAAGTGCATTATTCGATTCACTTAACCCAATTTGTCTTCCTACCTTAACAAGGAGTATTACTTGGCACCAAATGATCGTCTATAAGAAGAACTCATCGCATCGACACTGTATACCTCATTTCGGAACCCTTCAGGCAGCCACTGCCAGTGAATTTCCACGCGTTGCAACTACTGGATATATTCCTGTCCTCGAAGAAAATAATCTTTCCGTCAGAAACTATCGAGGCAAATAGTCTTGGTCTCATGGCAGTATTTCTTTTGATTTATGATGGGATTGAACCAAACGTTTTAGAACTCCATTATAGACCTGCAAATTAGTCTCTTTATGATGCTTGCTGGTTTGATGACACCGAACGAGGAACTCCCGAGACAGCCATTCCTGACAATGACCCGTTTTCATTTTACTTTCTAGAAAGTGGAGCTGGGCCAACTTCCATCCCAAAACCAACAGGTGGGTGTTGAGCCGAAACAAGACCTCGGAATCTTTGGAATGAAGTGATGAAATGAGGAGAATGATATTTTCAAATCATGCGAAGCATTTTTCCAAAACACATTTCAGATGTCCACTAAGGCTAAGTTTTGAAGTGGTGTCGAAAAAAGAAAACAATGCACGTCAAGTTATAATTGTAAAGGCAGTGCGTAGCTAAATTAGTATCCTCGCAATTTAGACCTTTCTATGTTTCTTTCTGTTTACACTCTGTAAATTTCTTGTGAACAAGTATTACCATAATGTTATCGTTGCTTTAGCTGGTATCTACGACCGATGTGGTAATGGATGGGAATACGACAAAAAGTCAGACAAGTGTTTCGTGTTCCGACCAACTGCCTACGAGAACTGGTTTAATGCCCGCTACAAGTGTCGTCAGGAAGGGGGTGACCTCATCAGCTTTCAAGGGAACGACGACTTGAAGTATGCGGCGGGTTAGTCAATTTTGGCTCGGCAATATTTAAATTGTTTCCAGCACTTGTATAATATGTTTTATTTTGTTTTGTAGATGTCATTGTTGTGGTTGTGGTTATGTCGGTGACTGCCCGATAGTGGTTCAAATGTTCAGTAGTCCGAGTAGGGAAGTAAGGTTTGATAATCAAGACCCCCGATCCCCACCTATTGGATGCGCCGTGTACCGCATCGAACCTTCGAGCGGAACCCAGTGTGTGTATGGCGGTTGCAGGTGTTGTGGTTATTGCTGGCTCAGGCTGTGGTTGTAGTTCCAGTTGTTTGTTGTGTCGTGGTTGGTTGCTGTGGTTGTTGCGATGATTGTGATGGTGTTGCGTTGCTGTGGTTGTATAATTTTGATTGTTGGTTATTGTGTTTGTGGTGGTGGTTGTGGGTTGTACTGTTTGTAATGGTCGTCGCATTTTTTTCTTATAAATCATGCAAGCAAATTTTGTTTCATGTTCAAATCAGCTGGAATGGCAAGTTATTTAACAGACAAGAACCCAAAAGTTCTCAGAAAATTCCTCAGGCTTCCACATTTATCAGTCTCTTGTCCTGGCTGTAAGCCTTATTGTGCAAATATCTTTTGGCAAAGTCGTGTGTAATGTATTATTGCGCTTGCACGGGATATTTCGGAAAAGGTATAGGCCTAGCATTCGGAGTTGTTGAATATTAACGTATGCTTTTGCTGCTCGATGAAACAAACCTTTGCAAATTATGATTATTATCTTGTTAAATGCATAGGCCTAATACACTTACGCTGAGTTTAGTAGCACAATGCACTCTGATCGTGTTCAGAGAGGAAGCAGTAATTAATTTGTTAGCTTCAAAGCGTCGAAAGGTCTTTACAGTACAAGGGTATCAGGAATCGGTACACACCAGGTTTTGCAATGGAAAACATCAACAAACTGATTCATTATGAAGCAATACAAAAGTTCTGAATAATTTTATATATTGGAACAAAAGTTGTGATAGACCTAACGGAAAAAATCAATACGGACGTTTCACCAAAGTGCGCCTCCAAGATTTGCAATTCGTTGACCAATCGCAATGCGCGAAATCTGTGGACCCTTTCCAAACGCGCATTGGGTCGACGGATTTCGCGCATTATGATCGGTCAACGTGTTGCAAATTTTTGGAGGCGCATTATTGTGAATCGCCCGTATTGAAAGTAACTAAAATTGATCAGCATTTCTAATCGTCATTTTTGGTAGGATTTCAGATGTTGCGTTGTCCTTTTACAGGTCGCTTGAAGTCTTACGGATCTGGACTTTCTTGGACAGGCTGCAACGACCTTGGTATTGAAGGTGGCTGGATTTGGAGTGACAAAAAGCCGTTTTCAATCATCAACTGGGCACCAGGTATACAGCGCTGTTTACCATCGTATGATTGTATTATTGTCCAAGAAAACAAAAATCAACGAAATCAGCAGCGCAACAGCTTCTAGTTAATCTTTTCTCCTTTACTGAAAAAATGTATTATATTTTGACTGGCCTACTTGCAACATTTTGTTCTAAATCCAGCCTTGATTTGTATACCCTTGTCTTTCTTTCCACTCTTGAAAGTAATGCTAAATTATAGTTTTAAAAAGTTGTTGAATCAGTGGATACATTGTACACGGGCCGTTTAGAAATAATGCTACCAGAACGATTTCGAAAATGACATAATAATATATGTAGTGAAAAATACGTACCTTATAAATATTTCAAACCATTTGTTGTATTGTATGTTGAATTTTACTCAAAGTACTGATTGCACTTTCGCCCATCGCGCATTTTCACAGATAACGCTAAGCCTAGCAAGTAATTCTTTTCCGTTACCTCGTTTCATGCAGGTCAGCCAAACAATCTAGACTACTACTACTCAGGGGGCCAACACTGCTGCCAGATCTACAACTACTGGGGTGATTGGAACGACCATGACTGCTACCTCTCTTATGGTTACAGCTGTAGCCGAGATGGTAAGATAATTACGTTTACGAACAGACGTCAGACACGATGTAGGGCCTACCACAACACTATGTGGATAAAACTTTCAGGAAGAGAAAAAACGTCTTCATCTTTTTTCATTCAGAATGTGGGCAGTTATATCCACACGCAATAAAACTTGAATGCGAATAATGCTTTCTTTGGAGAAATCTAATATTGATTCCATTCAACATCAATTCCTTCAACCCCAGACCGACCAGGTATAGTTGCATCACCACAATACTCACCTTTACTCCCACTCCTATAGCCTTCTGGTTTTAAGTAGGCAAATGCATTGATGCATGGACGAGTCCAAAATGCATGCATATCCAGTTCGTAAGTGTGACGTCACTTCAGTTTAAACCACGCCCACTGCACGTGAACTGCACATAGATTTTTTGCACTGATCGCCGTTTACATGGAACCATGGAACCGGGAGTTAATGCACAACTTCTTCATTTTATCTTATTGCCTGTCTCTTGCATGTTTCCTGTGTTGTTACAGAATACATCTTCAAGTATTTCATCACCTACACTGAGAAGAAGTTTGATGCAAATGTTGACCTGATGCTCGTCGACAAATGGCCCAGAGAATGCGCCGAGCGGTGTGTTCAGGAGAAGTCGTTCACGTGTCTGTCATTCGATTATGACAGAGCGGGTAGGACCTGTTTCCTACGGAAATTGGCAAAGACACCGGGTTCGTTGCTACCAACTTTTGATTCTCAGCACTTCGATCATTACGAAAGAGGTGAGTATACTCAGTGTTTGAGAAAGAACGTTTAAAGACTTGCATTTATTGGCATCTTGACTTTTTGCCAATAAAATTCGGCGTCCAGAACATGAAATATGACGAATTTGTGTCTATAGTATTGCACCTCATACGGTGCACCAGTGTGCGTGTGCGTGGCAATGTGTCTCTTGGCTGGATTGAAGTCCGTAATGTGTGATACTTCTTAATTTTGTACAAAGCCCAGAACGTCCCTTCGAAAGCACAGGGTGAAAATGCTATATCTCTTGCACTCCATGAAAAAAAGGTCATCTGTCATTTTCTTGAGAAGCTGAGGCCTCTTTTGCTATTGAAGTTTTTACTCTTAGGTGAACACGTTTGTTCAAAGCACTGCACCCTTTGCATCCCAAAACAACTGCAGTCCTCAGGCATTTTGGTGAGATGCGAAGGTTTCTTAAGCTGATCAAGTTTATTCTCTCTCCCGCCCTTTTTCTTCCCAGATCAAAGCGTTCAGCCCCCCCTGCCACCAACCCAACCTCCCTCAACGATGGGTTGCCCCAAGGACTGGACCAGATACCAAGACTACTGCTATTACGTCAGCTTTGTCAAAGATGACTTTGATGGAGCCGAACAAGCCTGCCCCAACGGCGCCATGCTGGCTTCGGTGGTTGACAGGAACGTCAATCATTTCCTCCAAGCACTCGTCTATGAGAAAAGTACGTCCTCGCTAATTGGCTTTGCCTGCGCCTGTTTATGTTTTGAGTAGAGTATTGTTTTTCTTTTCATTATTGTTTTGCATTATGGTGTTCAATACTTCACATTTCAAAGTTTTCTATGCTTGCGGACAGACCAAAAGGAGACCAGCTGCTGGATTGGATTGAACGACAGAGCCCAGGAGATGCTGTACCAATGGTCCAACGGTGAAACAGTCACCTTTACCAACTGGAACGCGCATGAACCCAACAATGTCAACGGAGAGGACTGCATTGAGTTATATATTCATTCCGTAAGAGACACAATCTCCAGATTACAGTTAGTCTTGAATAATCTAAATCAGAATAAAGTTCTGTTTTATTCATGATTAAATAAAGGTCGGTAATTGTTTGTGCACACTGACTGTTTTACGACTGTTTTTCTTAGCAAAGATTTTATTTATTTTAAAGTTTGCAAGCAGGTGCATCTCCTTTCTCATTCTCCAAAGTCTTTAAAGGAAGTTTGGCATACATTTTATTGCCTATTGAAACAGCGGGAGGTTTAGACCAAAAATGTTGAAGCGGGAATAATAATAATGATTTTTCTGTTTTCACCTTCCACAGGGATACTGGAATGATCTACCATGCAAAGGTTACGACCGAAGCTCCTTGTGTCGGCAAGGTCTATCAACTGGCAACCCTCCTCCACCAGTCGACGGTAAATGCCCAATTGTAAGTCATCAAGTCTATTCGGTTAAATAATAAATGTTGATGGAACACTTGGAGGTCTGCTGAGATTTCTCTATTTGTTCTGGGAAATAAGTCCCATGATAGGCTCTACATCTGCAAAAAATATGTGTTCCTCAGAAAGCAACCGGAGTCCGTTTCGCCGCCTTATGTTGTAGCTTAGGACCAGAAAGTGACAGCGAATTAGATAATCGAAGATAGTGACTGGTGTATCCAGCAGATACAGAGGCCTATCCGCCCCGAGTTGAAGTGCACCCCCTAGCGGCATAAGAAAGACAGATGGTTGTAGGTTTTCCAAACGGGTTCTTGCACGCGTTCTATGTGTACGCAAAGACTAAGCGTGCTCCGCGTCGAACGCGCATATACTTGCGCGCCTCATGGCGTGTTTATGATGTGAGTACCAAAAAAATACACGCCCTCTCTTTTTAGGAATTCAAACTGCTTACACTTTTGAAACGGTATTAACTGCTTTTCGGGTAGTGTAGATTATCATAAGGATAAAAGACATTTTGAGCGTCGTTCTGAAAAACATCCAAATTTACACCTTCCCAACACGCAGCACCTGGATACGCCTCCGACTATTATTGATGGACAAGATGGAGATATTGATTTTAAATTTTGTTTGACACGTGTATCACCCTACACGCTACAGAAACTGGGAAGATATTATCGTCACCGTGTGCTAATCGCAGTCGCTTCGTCGGACCACTATTTCCTGTACAGCTATCACAGAATGTCAAACAGTTTTTGGCAGTGGAGTTTCAATATATTCATGCAATGTTTTCCCTCCTCCAGGGTTGGGTATCATGGATGAATCGCTGTTACCTGCTCAGTAAGGACAAAGCTTCGTGGGCTGATGCAAGTACCAACTGTAAGAAGACTTCTGGTGCCCAGCTAGTCGTCATTGAGGAGAGGTGTATGATTATGTTCCGAAAGAATGTAGAGACTAGACCCGCTAGACCAGACCCAATGATAGTCGTCAAAACAAATGACTTAAGGAGAAATGCTAATTGAATTACATATTCAGTTTACATTAACTGTTGCCGATATACATTCAGAGCAAAAGCTTATGTCGACAAAACGAAATTTGATTTGCCAGATTTCTTGTAACGATAAGAATTCACTTGTCAAAACATGAGTTTTCATTTGGTCAATAAAATATTTACTTTTTCTCTTCATCACCGTAACTATCAATGGATTTTGTCCATATCTTTGACAATAATGACGTTTTCGCTGACAAGAGCTACTCATTATCATTATGACCAGAACCGGTTTCATTGAATCTGTTCAGGAAATGACGTCACTGATATCTGTCTTATTTTATGTTTCATCGTAGTTTTGCTCTTTGCATTCTTTTTGGTATTTTCTAGTTCCTAGTGATTTTTTAATCCCTTGTTACAGTTGGTCTTGCCGTTCATCCTTTCAGTATGTTTCATCGTCCGCTTATTTCTAGTGCATGGAGCCGGTTTTTTTCGTTAACCTTGAAAATATCATCAGAAAAGGTGCTCATCCTCGTTTATCTTTCTCTTAATATAAAAAAGTGATCTGTTTTTTTGTTGGTTTTTTTTTTGCAGACTGGAAGAAGCTTTCCTGAGTGGCCAGCTGGGAATGGAAGCAAGTGACGAGTTTTTCATCGCTCTCAGTGACAGTAAAACCGCCGGACTGTACGAGTGGATGGATGGCTTTCCGATCACGTACACCAACTGGGGCGAGGGACAGCCAGGTGAGTTAATGTGCCGCGACACCGATCACATTATTGTATTTGTTTGTTGTTGTTTGTCTTGTTGTTTTCTTTGTCTTTCTCTTGAGTTGATAAATCGTAAATGCTCAATTTTTTTCTCAGATTGCGGCCTGTACCAATGTGCAGATGCCATAGGCTTGTGCACATTTAGATGAAAAGTAATCCGTGTCTAAATTACTTGGCAGGGGCTTGAAATTACGCACAAGTCTATAGGTACAGCTTCCCATGGATTCATTCGTAGTTGAAGCCAAGTAACGCAGACACAGCTATTGTGCAAAATGGCATTATGTATAGGCCTACAAGTTGTTATGCAGTGCAACTTGCTACCCCTCCAAGCAGTTTGTTTTCGACCAAAGTGAAAAGTAAGCTTGAGGATAAAATTGTTTGCGCCTGGTTTCAGATGATCGTACGGGTCACTGTGTAACTATGAGCTCCGGCAAAGACGCAGGCTACTGGGCTGACAGAGACTGTTCTCAGCAGTATCGCTACATCTGCGAGAAGGCAAAGGCGGGTGAACCGCCCATTCAACCACCCCCTGTAAATCCACCTACTACGCCGTCTAGCCAAGACTGCGCTTCGGGTTGGACAGGCTACGGCCAACGGTGCTTCAAAGTACGAGAAAATGATACTCTTAACTTCATTTATATACCTTTACAAGTTCGAAAGTGTCACTTTCAGATTTCGCTTTTGTTCTGAATAGTGCATTAAATTATCATTTTATATTGATAAGAGACATATTTGAAGATCTCGCTTTTTAGTAAATTTCTCTTCCTGTATACGTTTTTGTAGGCGGTCGAATTCGACCAAGGCTCTGACGCCGCAGACTGGGACGAGGCTAATCGGGTGTGCACTAACTTTGGCGGACACTTGGCAAGTTTCCATCATCCTGACGAAGAAGCTTTCTTGGTGAAAAACCTGTGAGTCATGGAAGTTAAGAAAACACATTGTTCTTTGTAAATTACCCAAGCACCTTGAAATTCTTGGAAGGAAAAGTTGGTGCATATATTTTTTGGAATATGACGAAAATGTACACGTGTGGAGATACAAACCCTTCCTTGTCAAAAGTGGAATCATTGTGTAATCAATGCGCGAGGAATTTAATCGACCAGTGCAAGGGGGTGTTGTCCTTTAAGAGGCTGGGTCTAAAACTCTTGACTGCGGCTGGCATTGACACATACGTCTATGGGAAGTAGCTGCAGCCGTTAGCCTCTGGCTTCTGTGCCAGGGATTATTCTTGGCCCATTATGTGGGCAATTTAACTGTAAGAAATCCCCTGAAAGAAAGGGGCTGTAGCTGAATGTAGATCCTGTACAGCGAAAAACTAGTTTACGCGTTTTAAAGATGAAACTGATTTTATTCAAATCATTTTAATCAAAGCGATATCACCCTTTTTCAGCAAGCTTAACTTGAAGAGAAGATTTTGGATTGGACTGAACGATCAGCGAAACGAGGGAGGTAGGTTATCAGATAAGATATTGTAAAGTTGGCAATCACTTAGGCCCCTAGCTTATAAAAGTTACAGTAACCGCTAAAAGTTATCCTACCTAGCCAAGTAATTCGTTTTCAGATGTGTTGCAGTGTTGTAATTTTACTTTTTTTAAATATTGTAAATACCAGTGATCTCTATACGAAACAAAAACGGAAATATTTGCATATATCCTCTTCGATATTCGACATATATTCAATATAGCCTCAACGATCTTAGATTTTCATTGAATCATTGTGCAGACGTTTTGTGAAATCGCAATAATATTGAGGGTTATTATGTGAAAACATGGCTAATGGAGGGTCCGAGGTGCCACGGGCCACCCCCCCCCACTTCGGAAGTATATCACTGCCCTCTTTCCCAAGAGTGTTTAACACACACCCCTCCAGTTTAGCCCCACCTATTAGCAACAGGATATATATAAAAAGACAGCCAAGAGTTTTTGCCCTCCAAAAATAGTTGCTTCTGGGTCCACCTTTGAACCCGATGCGTTCGTTAGCCCCTCAATGCTCCGGTGTGACTCTATTTCCCTCTTTACGGTCGCTCGGTAGGTTATAGGTGGAGCGATGGTACACCAGTGCAATACACCAACTGGGCGCCAGGCGAGCCAAATGACTACGGTGGCCAGGAGGAATGTGTCGAGACAGACTTGAAGGGAGGAAAGTGGAACGACCTCTTCTGTTGGTACAAGCGGAACTACCTTTGCTCCATCCCCAAAGGTAATCGTCGAGAGCAGCGGTAGTTTATCGGTCCATTCTTGACTCAGTGACATCGGTAATTCCAACCGAAATACCTTTGCAAGGATTCTGCTACAGCAACGCCATAGATTCATGTCTACATTCAGAGAAGGATAATTGCCTGGGCTATTCAAATTCGGTGTGTAATTTTCGTTTGTCTAATTTAAGAAGCAAACAGGTAGGCTTTTTGTTAGTCATATAGAATATTTTCTTACTTCTTTGACTCTTCTCAGGTACACCTGTTGTCACAACTCCAGCCCCGACACCACCACCAGGTAAGATGAGTCTTCGTCAGTTTATAGAGTCTGTCATTTTTAATTAAGATAAGGAGTGATATGATTTTTATTATTATCATTCACTCAAAAAATTAAGAAATTTTCTCTCATTAGACATATTAAACGATGTTCCTAGCTTGTACGCGCCATTATTAGGCCTACTGTGAACTGAAAAGGAATTCAGTAGTGTCACAAGGAGTCAAAATGTTTTCACAGGCTTTAGAAAACTCAACACTGCTTACTTCTCCGTGATACATACCTATGTTGTTTCCTTCTCTGTCAGGTGGAGATTGCTATGGTGATAATAATTGGTTCCACTTGGCACCATACTGCTACTACTTCACGAGCCATTGGGACGACTGGCATAGCGCCAACCATTATTGCCATGAAATGGATGCTCACCTCGTGTCCATCCATAGCGACGACGAGCGCGACTTCATCAATAAGCGGGTAGGTTTAATACATGTCTCTGAGTAGCTTTCAGTCAAGGCGTTGTCTGCCTATCATTGAATGCGAGGCTGGCACGAGCGCAATCACAATTGGCCACCAAGCCATGATCGCACATACCGAGAGCGTGTTTTCGTGACTCTAAGCAAAAAACACGTTGGTGACGTCAGAGCAATAACTGGGGTGGCCCCCAAAACGCATTACCAGAACGGTTAGTCATCAGAGAGAGAGAGAGACAAAGTACAAGCTGGCAGATGACGTTGTCACCAATAAATGTCATTTTCACGCAAAATTTAGCATTCTTCACATTTCAGGCAAAGTACTCTTTTTTCACTGTTACGAGGAACGAAAAATCATGAGATTCATATTTCACCTAATACTAAGGACGAAAATTGTCTGATTACTTTCCACCAACTTAACCAGTGCCGAACACTGCTTAAGTTGGTGAAAACCCTTTGTTTTCGTTTGGTCGGAACAACGACCCAACACGGGCATGACAGAAGTCGTGAAAACAGCAAACCAGTGACCAAAGTGGAAAGACGTTACTGGTCAAGGTCACAAAAATACTCCCGAAAGCGTTTTACAGATTTTTTTGTGTGTATTTCTTCCACAACTACCGCTTTGCTTTGACAACAAGCCATTTGCAAATTAAATTTGACTAAAATCTCGTTTACCCTGAGTTATATTATGACACGTAAACGTAACAATTTGAATTCCCCAGACTAAAGACACTGTTGCTATAACCTGGTGATTCGAGGCAAGCTTTTGCATAGCAACCACTATCCCTGGAATGGACTGGTTCCTTTGTGCCCTTCTTATCCATTGAGAACAGTGTATTGTTGCAGGGCGTCTCTTATGTAACTAAGCAAAAGCTTGCCCCGAATCACGAGGTATAGCAACAGTGTTTTAGTATGAAGAATTCAAATAGTTATGTTGACGTGAATTTAAAGAACTCAGTTCACATATTTTATTCAAATTTAACTCGCAAAAGGCTTATTTCCAAACCATTTTTATGTTCCTTTTAATAGTTGAACGATGAAAATGGTTACTGGAATGGTCTGAAATCCAACTTGACACATCCGATCAATCATGAGTAAGTTTGAATCATTCAGTTTTTTATTAGGTACAAATTCTAATGTGCAAGGATTATCCGCCTCGAACTGAAACACTCGCTGTTCGGTTGTAAAGAGCCGCGTTAGTGGGGAGTTTTCATTTTGGTGGTAGCAATGCGACTGTGACGCTAGTGCTTCCAAGTCGTTGTGAACCAACGATGCGCAGATAGTATCAAAGGAACCACCGTTGTTAAGGAAATAGCTCCCGCTCTTGATAAAGCTCGAGGCCCATGGTTGGTTGTCTCCTTACGGAAATGAATTAAAACTAAATAAAAACCAAACAGACCTTACCAACTTTACGCAAAAATAAAATGAGGGGGAACTTTCTGCAACATATTTAAGAACTGTAAGAGATGACGATGATGTCATGCTTTGAATACAATGTGCTCCACTGGGAGCCAAGTAGGGATGAGATCCTCTTAGCTCCGAAAGGAGAACGCAGGTAAAAACAAACCTAATGTGACATCATTGATTATTTCACGTCTGATTGGAGTCAGTGAAGGCAGTTTATGAACCATTCGAGTCACTACCCCCAAAATATACTTCACAGATAAGTTACTAAAACCTACTGCACTTCCTGTATGCTTACTGTAACTATCTGTTGGTCTAAATTACCATGATCACCTTTGTGCTTGTTATTGTTGCTCTATGTATAAATATTGTTTTCACATTCATTTCGTATCTTTTTTAAATCGTTCGTACTACCAAATACCACCTTCACGAAATCGCATCGGAAAATTGAAAAGTCTGTGACAGTCGCATTGTGACACGATGACGAAAGAAGCAAAGAAAGGAGGAACGGGACTGACAGTGTACTCCAGATTATCTAAATTCATGCCCCGTCTTCAATTGATGGCTTGGCAGTCGGTTGTCATGATGAGTGCTTCTCCCTTCACCCCCAAGAATGGGGCTATGCCCATGTTTTGGTAGTCTTTAACTTCTCCTAAAGCACCTGTTGGGTAATGGAAAACCCGGATGCTTTTGTCAGGGTTTGGTTGAATCGCAAGTCGAGAATCGCGGGTGTGGATATAGTAGGAGTAGGCTGGTTTAAGGAATACGAGTTACGTCTCCTGACGACGAGTCAAGCATATTGCCCCAAACGTTGAGTCCCTCATCTCCTTTATAGAACCTCAACAACTCACATAATAGATATTTCTTACATGGTGCTGCCGCATGTTTCAAGGTTTTCTCCACCATTCAAACTCCCAACTTGCTTGCAATATGATGTGAGCTCAGGTGACGATGGGGTGCGTCAGGATAGGGTCAATTCTGCCTTGACCTTGTCCGACTTGTCAATATTGATATGATCACGAGTACTTTGCTTTCCTCTGGACATTTCAGGTGGGAAGACCACAGCCCGTACGACTATCAAAACTGGTTGGATAAACCAGACGCAGGATACGGCGACAAGCTCTGTGTAAAGATCATTAGTGAAGATTCGGGTAAATAACTATGTGGCTTAGTGAGTTAACACGACATATTGTCAACAATATGTGGCTAAAATGAAGTGATTGACCAAGGTCAGTAAGAAAGGCTTCCGTTTATTTCCTCACGGGGACTTTGCATATTCTGTTTTGTATATGTAGCAATTATTCTAATCCTAAATTACTGCTGGTTCCCCTTTTTCACCTTAAAAAGCGAAGAAGGGCAAATGGATGTCGTACAATTGTGGGGAGTATGGTCCTTACATCTGTAAGAAGCGTTTCGACGGCCTTCCAGCTACCCACGCACCTACCAACCCCCCAAGTGGAAAGTGTCAACCAGGGTGGAAACAGCTCAGCGATCGGCGCTGCTACAAGATGATGGGGATGGGCAGCCAAAGCGACCCCAAGAAGAACTGGAGAGACGCTAAGAAGGCGTGCGAGGACAGTGGAGCGCTCTTTGCGTCGGTGCACAGCTATGAAGTCCACAGTAAGCAGGAGTTGCTCGCATAGGATACCAGAGGCGTATCAGTGGAGGATACGCCACTGGTAGAAAACACAGTTTTCCCTTCCAAATATTATTTGAATTGAAAGCACCAGCGATTCTTGAGAGGGTATAACTGCTACCTTTCTTTTGAGATCGGTTTCGAATGTGCTTTCTTTTACAAATGAAAACTTTGGACCATTATTTTTAGTAATGAAAATTCAATTTGGTTTCCCCGAGTGAAGATGTGGATACACCACTATAAAATAAGACTGAAGTTTAAAGTACAGCGTCGCTGTATACCGGCACTGATATACCAAACTCTTCATTCGTCGCTGTCATTTGTCAAGCCTAGCCTAACCTTGTTGAACACTGCAAATTGAAACGAGATTCTTTTTGCCATGGGGGCGTCTTTGCATAGTAAGTAGGCCCCCAGTAGCGCACACAGGATTTGTCCACCCGATCCGACTACCCACCGCTAATTATAAGCGAGGCCTGTGCAGCAAAATACCCTGCAAGAACTCTAATATATTATCGTATGGTGCAATACAGTGGCACACTTATACGTGAGGCTAGTCAGCGTCAAAAAAATTTGGCAGCAGAAGGCTCGAACAAGCCTCACTTATAAGTATGTCTACTGTATTGCATCATAATAAATTAGCACCACAGTTAGAGCATGACCATTTAGCTGCATAGGCCTCACTTATAAGTAGCTGTGGGTAGTGGGATCGGGTGAATTGTCGGGGGGGGACCCGGACCGGAATTTACCTCCGAAAATAACTCATCATACTTAAGCACTCCCTTCCCCATCCACAGCAGACTGGGATTGACGGCTATATCAGAGCCGATGTTAGTAGTTTTAAGATGTATGTATATTGTATCTTCATTTTGCTACTCGTTAAGCCTGGAATAAAATCTGACAGACCAGAGGAAAACTTTCATTGGTATGCAGGCTCAAATCTGGAATATTTAAAGTGTATTTGAACCAGCAAATGTGATTGCCTTGCACTTTTTCCGATCGTTGCGTAGTAGCAGACACTTCACCCAACACTTTAGCGTCTTCTAAGAACTCGTTGTACGGAAATAACAGACCCATTTTGTTCATTCCCACCCCGTTACTTTTTCTAGTTGAAAATCCAAATATTTGCTTGTTTTAAAGATGTTCTGACTGCTGATATGATCAACGCTGATGGTGATGTGTGGATTGGAATGTCCAACATCGAAAACCAAGGCACCTACGTGTGGGCAGACAGCAGTTCAAAGGATGTCTTAGTCTGGGCATACAATCAGCCTTATTATGTAAATATGATGATTTTCATTTTTGTACAGCTAAGACAGGAGCATCATTTTAATCGAAATGGGACTATCGCACCTGGAAATGTTGGCCACTGTTTGTCCACATTAATGCTGACTCATCGGGGGTGATTTCATTTGAGTACTACGTACTTCCAGAGCTCAATTATTAAGGCTGTTTTTTTATAGAAAATAGGAATCTGAAACGGGGTTATAATAATCATGTAAGCATGAAATTGCCGTCTACCGCACTGCTGCAAATCAAGAAGTCAACACACGTATAAATCACTCGGAATCAAAACAGCAGTATCAGTTCGGTAATACTGCCGGACAGAATAGAGACTGTAGGAAGATGTTGCATACTGAAGTCATGTTTTCCTCGTTCAGTTTGCAGGATCTTTGAAAAGAGCCGTATCTGCGACTGAACAACGCTGTCAGAAAATACTTCTAAAATGTTGTTGACCTGGAGTTCGTTTGACAAATTTAGTTGTTCTAATGAGGGACTGCACGGAATTGTTTCCCCTTTCACAGCGCTTACTGCCACTGTATCGGATCATTGCAAATGGCCATGGTTTAATACAGGATTTAACAGTAGAGATTTCGTTCCACAAGTGACGAAGTGGTGTCCGGAATGCAACATTTTTCTAAGGTGGTTTAATTTTCTGTGCATTTTTGAAGAGTAGCGATACCTAACGGGCAAGTGTGGATTCCATGTTAACTTCAACAATTTCTGTCTTAACGTCAAATTCACAGTCCGAAAACATAACGGAGGGTTGTGCGTGCATGAAACACGAGGACGTGGAAAGTGGGCGTTGGTTTGCCGAGGATTGTTCTCTTCTCCATAGCTACATTTGCAGGAGGGAACCAGGTAAGTGTCATCGACGGATTGGGGAGGAGTCACGTACTCTTATTGTTCGAATATCCCGCCGTGGTCGGCATGTGGATTGAGGTTTCAGTCCCTTCCCAATTTCTATGCTTTTCCCTAAAAATTCATCCCGAGTTTTCCTCCGATGTCCAAAAACTGAACATTTCTCCATGCATTGTCTTCTTTATTGCCAATTACAATCCTGCCCTGTAATCCTGTATTTGGCACTGAATGCGATGTTGGATGAAGAAAAATATTTTTTTCATAGTAAGAATAACGAGGGCCAATGTAAGGGCCCTTCAGAAAGAGAAATTGGCTTTCCTTCTAAAGGGTGTAAAAAGCCGGAAGCTAATCTCACCCCTTAGAGGGGCCATACACGGTAATGCATCATACAATACCAAAGTGTTCTTGAATACCCGGACAAAATGTTTGCCTCCCTCCCTCTCCCCCCAAAAAAGTTCAGTCTGGATTTACCCTTGGCTAAGTCATGTCAACTACGACATATATATAAACTAATGGTTGGCTATCAGGTGGCAAATATGAACTCCGCATATAATGTTGGCCTGTACTTTATTTAGATACCTAGAAATACTGAAAACAAGCAGCAAATGAACATATGTGTGACGAGACGGGTTGATGACCGCACCTATTTTTCATTCTGTTTTGTTCATTCCATTTCACCGAACAAACTCATCAGCCCTGTGGACCATTTTTTATCACTTGGGCACGACCTGTGGTTTTAGGTTCAGCCACAATGAAGCTGGCTTTGTTACTGAGCTCCAAAACTCCTGGCCAAAAGTTTAGTAATTCTTTAAAAATGACTTTTCCCCCAAAAAAGGAACTAAAAGCGGACCGTCCACTTGAACCACACACACCATCTTTACGAATCCTATAGCACTATTCCACCCAAGCCAGCTCGGCCGATCCTTCTCATTCTGTGCTCATGTTTATAATGTATTACCAGCATATTTCGTATTGTGGCACTTTGCAGTCAAAGCCTAGTTTATTATACAGGTAGTTAGAAAGCCGTTGTTTTGCTTTCATGGTTGTGTCGTTCTGATCATGTTAGAAACCTCTTGCTACACCAACAGACGACAGCATCTCAGGAACGCCGCCCCCACCACCCTCATGCTCGGACATCAACCCCAACCTGGCCGATTACACCAAGTATGGCGATGCCTGCTTCAAGGTCGACTTAAGCCAGAAGAGGACCTTCGATGGAGCCAAGGCATACTGTGACAGTGACGGCGCTACCCTGGCCTCAGTCCGAAATGGCTTCGAACAGTCGCAGCTGGTGACGATGGCAATGGAAGCCGATGACAACGTTTGGATAGGGTTGTACGACGACCCGGTGGGTGTCTCACATTTTGCGCTCGACTCTGTTATGACTTCCGGCGGTAATACTTTTTCCGTTGTAGAATTATACATTTTTTTTTCAGAGTACAATAGGTAGAGCTATTTTCAGCTGACGAAGTTAACATCTCACTCTGGACGGCAGCGAGGCAAAAATGGCTAAAAGGACAGGGAGTGTTCCATTAAGTACAATAAAAAGCCTCCCGTACATGCAGTTCTTTTGTGACATCATGTCAGTAGGTAGGATTTAGTGTTGTAATTGTTCTCTTGTGCAGGCTACTAGGCTCTTCACCTGGCTGGACGGCTGGCCCTTCCTCATCGAATTCTGGGGATGGAATGACCCCAGAGGCAACAACTGCACTGCCCTGACGAAAAATGACTATTATTTCTACATTAGTGGCTCTTGGGAGAATGTTGATTGCAGCGAGAAGTATTACACGGCCTGCAAGTACACCACCGGTGAGTTTGAAATACGTACATTTATTTAGAACTGACCAGGTGAAACGGTTTGAGTTGCTACCTGGTGGCCTTCCAGGTGCGGTTTTCATGTCTGCATCAAGTCCTATAAGAACTTCATGCTCAACTCTGAAGTTTTTATCATCAACTAGGTTCCCCGCCGCCTACTCCGGGGCCTGAGCCGGGATTCTGTGAAGAGGAATGGGCAGAGTACGGTGGCAGTTGCTACATCCTGGGCACGGGCAGCTACGAACTAGCCACTTTCAAAGATGCGGTGTACGACTGCGACAGGTACTACGGAGGAGCGTACGTGGCCACCATCAGCAACCAGGGCGAGAACCAGTTTGTCCAAAATTTGGCCCAGAAAGGCGTTCCCGGCATCAGCTGGATTTTGATTGGCCTTGAACGAGGGCCTAATGGTAAGGGACGACATAATCGTTCATGTAGGTTTCGCATACAGCATATCCTAAGAGAGCGCCAGAAATGGGGGCGAAATCGGAACATTACGATTACCGCATATATTTGCTTATCTGGGAAAATGTTTTCTGTCTTTGAGATAATTTAGTAACCAGACAGACAAGAAAACAGACGAAGAAGGACAAGACATGCCTGCTAAAAAAGAATTTGTAATGGGGAAGGTGCGTCAGCTTTGCTCCCCTACACAAGTCCGTGGGACGATCACTTGTAAATCAGTGGCCGATTTACCCAACTATATCTGCACAAAATATATTTTGGGTGCCAGGCAAAATCGGCCAATGGTTGACAAAGATCGTCTGTCGAATTTTCCTACGCTTAAAAAACTTGGGGCAAGTTTGCAGAACGAGAACAGTTAACTATAGACCTTTTTCCTGTGATGTCAAGATCGTGCTGGACCTATGACGTGTTGTGATGGTAATCTACTTATTCGAGATAAACTAGTCAAGCATGCAGCGTTCGCACGTGCGCTTGCACGTGGTTGAAGCTGCCCGTGGGAATATTTGCGATCACCGTTGCCAAGGCAGTCCATATGTGAAGGTATGGTTTACGTTTAGTCACGTGGGTGAATAAGGTCTATAGTTTGACAACGTCAGCCGAGCGAGGGATGGTTTAGACCAATTATAACCCACCATTTGGAATCAGGCAACACTGGTAATATTGTAGTTGATTTCATTTGCCCGTACGGAGGGAAACATGCAGATGTACATTATGGAATGAGATGTCACTGAACGTGAACATCATGGCAACAAGAGCAGAATGTGAGTGACAAAAAAAAATTTAAATATAGTTAAACTGCAGTCGTTGGAGTGTTTTGTATTGCATATGTACAGTGTTAAAAATAATCATTTTTGAGATCGCCTGTAGCTCGAGACTGAAGGAGTGGCTGAGCAAAAAAATTCATTTCAGCCCATTTTGATTAGTTTCTAGTCCCTAGCGCCACAAACAGATAGATGAGCCGTCCGTACCGTGTGCCAAAACCGTGCAGCCAACGCTCATCCCGAAGAAATGACATTATTTTTTTAAAAATTAAATAAAAATAACAAATTCGACTTTACAGTGTAAAGTCGAATTTGTTTTTAAATAATGCCATTTTCTATTTCTGTACAGCACACACGATCAACTGCACGGGAAGAACATTGAAATCGTGTTATCATCGTTAATACTTGCATCTACTGTGTTTTATCTATACATCTCTTTAAACGAGCTTCCCACACGGTTCTCACTTTTCCTAGCCAATAAGCATCGAGGGAAATTACTTGAAAAATGCAGTTTACAGTTTAAGCCACCATCAATTGCAGAGATGGGTGTATGAGCCCCGAGCTGGACCAAGAGAGGGCGCAATACGTAGGACCCATTGGTCGGGACTGCACTTTAGTGGCTCACGACCGACTATGAACGCGCTACGGGTCGCTACCAGCAAAATGAACACTCTCCACCAAAATGGCTCTGTTCAACCGATGAAAAGGTGCTTCTACTCCCGGCAGATATTTAATTCTTGGTTTTCTTGACATTTTGCTGATTGCCGACTTTGGTGATTTTTATTGTTGGAATTACAGGAGGCTGGAAATGGGTGGATGATAGTACAGTGGCCTACCAGAACTGGGCTGGAAACGTTTACGGAGATGAGACAAGCAGCTGTGTTGAGATACGTACCTCCGCTAAGGGAAAGTGGGACACTATTGCTTGTGATATCAAAAGCCACTTTGTTTGCGAAAAGCCCAAGAGTAAGACTCTTTTTTAACTTTTATTTGACGACCAAATCGGTCTCCCAAAAGCAGGCTCAAAACATATGTGTATGCAAATTTCAAATTGGTTTGCTTATCTAATACCCGATATTTGCCATTTTTGTTTCAGGTGCAGTTTGTAGAAATGTCGTAGTGACTTTGATAAAGACCCACAACAGATAAACACACAAGACCTCCCATCTCCGTTCAAGTCGCTAGCAATTTGAATGAATTTACATCAAAAGCATTTGGTAGTCATTGTTCACTCTGCTACGTGTTACTGGTCGTAATGGTCTTGTGATTGTCTTGATAAAACCACTGTATATTTTGCGTATGTTGGAAGATTCAACAGCTCTGACCGTACCCACAATCTGACTGTACCTACCACCGCTCATAATGCGAGACATTTACAGCAGAAAGCCTGATGCAGCCAACATTTCAAAAAGGATAACCACACACTGTGCTTGTTGTATCCAGACTAAACATGTTTCGCTTTTCCTCGTACAGCACGAATCACGTCTACAGAAGCACCATTTAAACGTAAGTCTTGCACTACCAAAGTACTGTTTAGAAATAACAAAGGTGTATTAATTAGTTTTTCATTTTTTATTTTATGCTACTTTTGATGGAAGGGGGCATACTAAGAAACGGCGGTCTCTTGCGCGAAGGAAAAATCACAATTATAAAGCCTTTTACAGAGCACTAAAATCCCGCTTAGATTAGAAACTAATACCAGAACTGATTAAATAGGATTTTTTGAAGAAAAAATGAACAAAGCTCGGAAACCTGAGAGAAATGTTCATCAAAATTGCACCCCTTTTCGATGGCTCGCTTTAATACACTTCTTGCTGCCAAGGCTATTTGTGCGCATGCGTGCATAATTATGAATTATTAGTGAAAAGGTCTGTCGGTGCAATGCGTCTCTTATGTAACTAAGGAAAGGAAAAGTTTGCCCCAAATCACAAGGTATAGGAACAGTGTTTTTAGTATGGACAATTCAAATTGTTATGTTCATGTGAATTTAAAGAACTCGGTGTACCAGATTTTACTCAATTTTAACTCACAAAAGACTTATTACTTACAAAAACGTGGTTGGGAGGATTGGGTGAACCTTCTTCACGCTTTTCCGTTAGGAAATTTAGAAGTCCTTTTTTTCGAGGATCAGTACAATCTGGATAACATTTTTCCCTTCATTTTTTGGCCACCTCCCCAAGTCGTTTTGATAAACTGTAGTGCAAAGGAGCAGCGCAGTCTCATACATTTTGTGGAGACTTGTCGTCATCACATGAGGTTTCTTCCAAAATCCTTTTCCACTGGTCTTTATACATTTTCATGACGTCACCTTTACAGCGAAGGATTGTGTCAACCAGTTTATCGTCAGTGGATGGAAACAACTAGATACCTTTTGCTACTTACATGTGTCGGACTCTGTATCGTGGGAGGAGGCCGAGGCGGACTGTAACACGAAAGGCGGTTACCTTGTGTCGGTGCACACAGATGCTGAGCAGTATTTTGTAAAGAAATTGGTGGGTTAGGAACAGATGTATTGTTCTATGTGGCAATTTCACAAACTTGACGGGGGTGCTGGATTTCATAATTCCCACAGAGCAAACGTTCAGCCATTTGGAGAAAAGGGTCTACAGAACGTGGTCCATCTTTGTTTTTATTTTAAGAACAGCAGAAATGATAAAATGTGGTTTTCCTCCTCTTTATAAAGTGACTGTTTTAGTTTATTTCATTCGTGAAAGAATTTTCTTGCTTCCCTCATAAAAAAACAGAGGTGGTATATAGCAACGTTTCTAAAATGCTGGCACTTTCAGTAATCCCTTCAAAAGTTTGGGTTGCTAAGCGACAACGCGTGACTGGGCCTGTACTTTTTCTCAATCTTAATATTAGTTTCCTCTTTCTCTCACTCTCTCCCGTTTTCTTTTAGGGAGAAGACAATTTTGCTTACGTACAGTGGATTGGGCTACATGAAGTTTCTGAACTTGGATTGGGTACAGATTATGGGTAAGTTGCTGAACTCCTGAAGACACTTTTAATTCTGTAATTTTCAATCGTGTTCCCTGGATGCACCTTGTTCAGTGTAACGTGTCAAATGGGATGGTGCCAGACTATTTACATTCTAAGCCCTACCTTTATTGTTTAACTTGGCTTAAAATATTAAGATACGGTAAACCACAGCTTAGCAACCCTACAGAATGAATGAAGTCCAGTCGTTATAATGACTTGGCTTTATAGCGCAAGCACCCATGGAAGTCAGTGGTTTGAAGCTGTGACGTCACTTCAGTTTAAACCGCACCCACTGCACATATGGAATTATGGAACCATGGAGCCCGAAGTTAACTCGTAACTCAAGTGTTCATTCAATAGAAGCTTGTAACCACTAGTGCGTGACTGTGCATGACAAAGTCACTTCGAACCAGATAAAGGCAGACTAACATGCACCCACTAAATGAAGGTTTTCGTTGCTTCTAGCTGGACTGATGGAACTGATGTGGATTACCCAGGCTGGGACCACGGACAACCCAATGATCAACAGGATACAGCAACGTGTGTCCGGATGAGATGGAGTAAGGAGCCCATCTTGAAGGAATTCATCTGTTAGATCGTAACAGTGCAGACGAAAATAACTGCACCATTTGTGTGATTACATGTATCACAGAATGAACGATATGTCCGCCTTCAGTTCAACTTGACAGTTTAGTTTAAAAATTATATCGGGAGCACTGGGGGTTCAGGATTAAACCCCTTCTTGGCCATTAAAATAGAAATACGAAAAAAGAATATACACTCAGTCAATGCGCATGACAGCCGTAAACCCGCTCAGAGTCAAACATGTCCCTACAGAGCCCTCTTCCGCCCAAATACGAATCCTACAAATGCCTGCGTATTTTCTTTCATCCTTTTTGGCCTATTTCATAGGCTTTCTTAGAGGTGTCATTTTTTCTGTCTTAATATAACTTTGAAAACGCACCTTGAGCTGTTTTCAGCTCTAAGTGGCCGTGTGCACTTTAAGGAATCTTTTGTGACAGTGGGTCGTAAAAACTAGCAAATGCTATGAAGTGCAAGCAACCAGCAAAAGCATTTACTGATAAGTCAAACCATTAAGAATAAGCAAATGCTTGAATTGTAGGAATAAAATGTTTCTTTTACTATTCAGCATCGACTAGTATAAATATTAGCAAATGTTTTATGCTTGTGGCTGACTGCTCAGCCGAATGGTTTTGCACAATAGGGCTTCCGTTGTCTGCATGTACGGATGCACACAGTGCAGCATGGTGCCGTATCTTGAGACCTCAGCATGGCAGATAAGCACGATGGCAGTAACTTTGATCGCAAAAACCTAGATGACAAAAATTGCTCTGCCACTCTCAAATCGGTACAACTGCCTGCATCTCGTTTTTTGAAGTTCCCTCCTAAAGGCATACAGCTTTTCCTTTCGAATGACATTCATGAATGCTGCCATTTTGAACATTAATAAATGCTTCTCTTTTTCAAGCTTGCTCTGATCCAGTCTTGAAAAATGTCCAGTAAATACTCCAGTTTTTGTAGAACCTACTAATTTTTGTTCATTCAAAATGAAGCAACTGCTTAATGTCAAAACAAGCTTAAAATGCAATTGTACTAAACTAAAAGAATTTGGAAGCGTTTACTCGTGTTCGTATGAAAAATACAAACACGAGTAAATGCTTCAAAAATGGTAGTAATAGCAAATGCTACTTTTTATTCATACGACCCATTATCAGACAGGTGTAAAATAACAAAACTGTTGGAATAGAACAATGGAAGACGATGTTTTTCTGATGCAAATTTAGAGCCTTACAATCTCTCTTGTCACCCACAGACGGAAAATGGGAAAACAGTAATTGCGGGAAGTCACTGGCTTATACTTGCAAGAGAAAATTCGACAGCAAGACGCCTGTTGTGAAACCAACCAAGCCGCCCAAGCAGGGGAACTGTCCGAAAGACTGGCTGAAGGTGGGTAAGGCTTGCTACCAATTCCGCTCTGGCAGCAAGACGTGGAACGAATCTCGGAATGATTGTCTGAAGGAAGAGGGAGGCGACCTAGCTGCGATACACAATCAGCTAACCCAGTGTGAGTCTCCGTCAGCAGAGCTCGCGGTAATGGGCACTGTCTAGACTGTCCCCGTCTGGATTGTGGTATCCGTTCCTAATTCTGTATTCTAGTTTCACAGCGAACGCCAGAGGAAAATGAACTGTACCCCAGCCCGTCTATGGGCCTTCCCGCCCTTTTGGTAAAATGTTCGCAGTATTTCTATTGACTTTCATTAAAGCTCACCATAAATTCACATTGAACATTGTGTTCCTACATTTATCATTTCTAAAGCAGTTCATCCGAATATTAGCGTTGGATCCAGTTTTTACGTTTAAAGTAGCCTCTTCCAACCCCACCCTCGCCCCGAAAAATGGAACACGCCCAATATATTACTTTTCAACAAAATTCTTAAAACGGAAACGTGCATGTATACAATTTATTTTAAAACTATTTTCAACCTTTTTACATGTTTATCTTTCTTGCGTGAAAGCTTACGTATGACTTAAGGGTTATTCCCAGTTTAGCAAGATATCAGGCAGGGCTGAAGATGTATTTTTTGGCAGATACCTTATAAACTTTCTATGCCTTAACTTATATCCCTGTTATCCTTCTGTTCCAAAGCTTTTCTAACAACAGCTCTCAAGGGACAACCTAGCAATATGTGGATCGGACTGCGAAGAACTTTTTACGACTTCAGTTTTCTGTGGGTAGATCAAAGCAAGAGGATGTACACTCACTGGGCCAACAACCAACCGGATGGATTTGTAAGTATCCCAATTTCAGATTGCCGTTTCTTTTGCCGTTGGAATTGGTTAACATTGAAAGAGATCCGCGGGCTGGAACAGTGAAACTTGATGAATTATATCTCTGTACCCTACTCAAAAACTTGTACTTGTAAATTCCCTGTTAAATCTTGAGGTATATACTCACAGGTACATGCCTACATGTCTTCTATATTACAATACTTTGATTAAAGGATTAACAAAAACATTGGCAGAGGTTTTCCTTTTCAAGAGTCCTTCATGGACTTCCAGCTTAGTTGCCCCTTGAAGAAGACTTTTAAAGAAAGACAAGGTCTTGAACTTTACTTTCTATGTGTTCTCTCTGCCTCCAAGTTAGTATGGTCAAAGTGAACCCGTACCCAACTACACGTACACTGTTTTTGTGGTTTGCACACGCAATGAATAATGTTCCAAGGACTCCGAATATTGATCTTCCATTTACCAGTCAAGGGAGATTTTATTCAGGTGTTGTACAGTATTAGAGTGTGTTATGGTGTGTTCCATTTTGGGGCATTGTCAGTAATGGGAGATGATTTAATATTCAATAAAATGTTAAAAGACGTCAAGCAAACAGCAATCCGTACAATTTTCTCTGAAATAGTAAGTTGGATGCCCCAAAATTACTCATTCGTTCAATCCTGTTATTGCGCTCGGATTCAAGCATTCAAACATGGTCATTTTAAATCCAGACGGTTGTTACTGGTTCAAGAAGATGGTGGTGATGGTGGCAGGATGATGAAAAGCTAGGTTATATTTTTCTCACTTTCATACAGTTTGGTGAGGAGGCTTGTGTTGTTATGGCGAAGGACCCCGATTTTCCGGGCAGATGGAATGACATCGACTGCTCAGAGAAACACGGCTATCTTTGCTACAAACCACTTGGTAACAATTTTATTGCACAAACACAGCGTAGCCTAACTCTAGATCTTTGGTAAAATGATGGAGCAAACCAATGGAGTTACAACGGTGTGGTTCCGTCAACCGGGGTAACTTTTACAGGTTAAAATCCTCATCGTTTCTGCCTTTCCAAAAACAGAAATATTTTTTATTGATGATTTGATATTTTGTTATGATATGATAACATAACCATTTTAACTGGATTTACTATATAAGAACATAGTTAAACGTATTAAACCGTGCAAAGATAATGTAGAAAGCGCAGATAAACAATTATTTTGGCAACTATTTTCCCAACCAAGTGACAAAATGGTTGGCCTGACTTTTAAAGGATGTACAAAAAGGTTTGAAATGAAGAAATACCTTTTTAAAGAGTCCAAGAGGGCCTTGCTATCTCAGGATTTGGGGGTTTCGCTTGTTTCCAGATCCCAGTCTGCCCACCAGCATTCCCCCTGACGTCGGTAAGTGCCCTCTGGAGGATTACATGCCATATGGCGAGGACTGTTTCAAGATCAACATGACGATGTTGAACTTTGGCAATGCCACCGTGACCTGTTCCAACGAAGGAGCGGCCTTGGCTACGATAATCGATGGTTACGCTGAGGCGTTTGTGATGTACAACATGCTGAACCAGGACGGGCCTCCGCCGGATTCCATTTGGATTGGCTTCAGCGCTGATGTCGTAATGCATTTTTTCCATACTTTGATATCAAAACAACCACCACAGTAACATTACAACTGCAACCATGTCTGGATTCATGGGGAACAAAAGAGGCCATACTCTACCGCCAAGAATTTCAAAATGACAATGGTGGCTGGTAAAAAATTACATTTCATTTCCCTTCTCTTCCAAATTGTGTAAAAATTCCCCTGGTACATAAAGGCGCCTTTCAATTCCATGTGCTTGTCAACACTTGCGCCAGGTGTTGTAGAAGGCGCCTTTCCACATGTAAGTTTTTTGATACGTTGCGCACATGATGCGTTCATGCGTTTCACTTCTCACAGACACCTTTATAATGACACACGTGTGCGTTGTGCTAGTCCGTCAAAATCGCCCTGGGAGCGATTTTGATGGATACGCAACGCTGCAAGTGTTGACACGCACGTAGAAAGCTGCCTATATCCGTCCAAACGCAATACACACTTGTGGTATATTAATGTTAATGTTTGTGTCCGTGAAATCCGAATGCATGAACGCACTGTGTACGCAACGCACCTAAAAACGCACATATGGAAAGGCACCTTTAGTGGATCCGGCTCAACCACTCTTCACATAACTTATAAAAATATCAGATTTTGTGATAATATCGTCCTTCAAAATTGATAAAATCTATATACGATGGACATCTTACATTCTTTACCGGCTCATGATCCAATACCAACTTTTGATACAATGAAACGTTGCTACTTTAGAGGTCTGCTTTTTACCCTAACGGGCGTTCTGCAGTACATAAATTCTACTCTGTCAATTTGACACCGCTCCTTTATCCTTTAAGGATCTTTTTTCTTCCCAGGATACAAGGCAGTTTCGTTGGGCAGATGGTTGGCCAGTCACATACACAAACTGGGGCTGGAGCCAGCCCATGGAGGAAAACGGTCTATGCACAATGTTGACACAAAATACGGATTGGGAGACATCTGATTGTGGTGTCAAAATGCCCTTCGTCTGCCGGACGACCACCGCCACACGTAAGCGTCTTTCATTGGATATTCGAAGAGTTTTTCATCGTCAGATGATAGGCAGCTGCCTATATGTGTCAAAGGGAAAAGGAAATTACTGGCAATCTGCTGGAGTCACCTTGAAAAGGCAAAGAAGTTGAATGAATACATGTTGTCTGAATGATGGCCCTTTCATTGGTTATTGGCGGCGGTCCTCGCTAATGGCGGCACACTGCTTTCCTCCATTAAAAGGAATATCCGGTGAGACGGCGCTGGATTCATCTCAAGCGCTGTTATCCGTCCAAACAGTTTATCTACGCTAAACATTTCTCTCAGCTTGTCAGGAAACTCTTTGGTGATTGCATAACAGGATTCAGTGTTTTCATTGCTCGGGCCTCTCTTACACAGCTCTGCGGCCAACGAATCCGTCCCTTCCCGGCACGTGTCCAGACGGTTGGCTGCCATTCCATGATCACTGCTACCAGTTCAACACTAGCAGCTTAGGCTACGAATCGTGGTATCAAGCAAAACATCAGTGTGAGAAAGACCATAACGGTCGACTGCTGTCGGTCCACACACAAGCCGAGAACAACTTTGTCCAGAAAACATTTCGACCGGAAAATTCTTACGAGTGGTCTGGAATATGGTTGGATCTCTCCCGTGAACCAGTCGGTAGGTGTTAAGAAGTAACTATCTTGACGTAAATTGATTTGGTTGGACGGTGTATTGCTGACATTTTGGCAGTTGACTGTCATTCGCAGGTTTCCTTTAATATGGCTGTCCTTTACCCGATTGTCCATATTATGCGATATCCAATGACAATGAATATTTTTTATCTAAGTTTATTTATTTATTTGTAAACATATCACAAGGAGATCACAATTTAAGAAACCTGGATAGACTTGAATTGTTTGCAAATATATTTGTCATAAAATTACTATCATTTACACGGTTATTAAACTTCTTGTCATATTATTATCTACCAACATATCACAGGTGAAAATACGTGTCACAAGTAAAAACCAATGGAATAAAAACTTCATATAAAAAATTACATATCTAGTTTAATGTTCGATATTCGACATTGAGATACGTTTGTATAGTGAATGTGAGGTGGAATGTCCGGTTTGTACAATAAATGTATGAGTTGAGTTGAATAGTCGATGGCCCTTTCACATTGTTTCATCTGGGAATGTTCGACATTCGTATTTGGGTTTGTATAGCAAATGTGTGGTTTTAGTTGGATATTCTACATTCACCATAATTCTACTGGTTTCTATAGCGAAAAATATGGGTTGAATTTTATTTTCGAAAGTGCTAAGTTTTGTTCAGTATCAAAAAAAGCTTCAGAAGCTGCATTCAAAGTCCTTCTTTGTGTTGTAAAGGTTAAACGTTTCCAGCATTCTTGCGGTTTTGAAAATAATAAGTCTTTGTGCAACTCCCAGTTTGTGGTTTTTTTATCTGTATATGGGCTGCGTTGTTGATGGTCAAGAGTGGGAGAGAATTAAGTTGAAATCCAAGACTAACTCGTCCTCTGTTACTGATTGCTTCACACTGTTTGCCTAAAAAATCGATTTTATTTGACAAAATGCTTCAATCCAGAATTCGATTTTAACCTGAGTTATCTCAAAGATATACACTTTAATTGGAAGTTTTTGTCTGCATATTGTCCGTAGGAGGAGGGCATTACGAGTTTTCTTGGAACGATGGTCACGCCATTGATTACACCAACTGGGCTACTGGGGAACCCGCTGAAAACGAATGGAACGATTGTGCCGTGCTAATGCCTAAAGCGTACGGCAAGTGGGAGACGCTGTCGTGCAGTTATGGGGCTTTTTTTGTCTGCTACAAGGAGCAAGGTATGTGGGCAGTTATAACGAATGCTACAAGGAGCAAGGTATGTGGGCAGTTATATCGAATGTTCCGAAAAAATGTGTACGTTATGCCTTCTCCAAATACATAAATCCTACATTTGGAAGCAGGTGTGATAAATACTGCATTTGGAAGCTGGTGTGATAAATCCTACATTTTCAAGCAGGTGTGATTAAATATGGACTTTTAATTATATTACCCTGGACAGAACTAGGCTTGTAGACCTTTAACGAGGAACAGGAACTGGATAAGAGGCCAATTTCATTTTGACACCCCTGGTGAAAAGATGCTATTAGGCTAAGAAGTGTTGCAGATTTTAAGAGGTCTCCACGGGGGCATTTGTACTGCAAGTGTTTAGAAAGTCAGTGAGAATGGGACAGCGTCATTCATGGCATTTTGTTTTCATTTTCTTGCTCCGGTAATTAATGTCTGTGTCTCCCCCTGTACCCCAGTTATGATATTTTTAAATGAACAAATGCTGTATGAATGATCTTAAAAGGTTCCACTGAACATTGTCGGTGGATTTATACCATGTGACTGTCACAGAACAGTGGCTTCGCACAATAGTTATCTTAATGTTTACCACCATTAATTGGCGGGGTCAGTCCGAATGACCAATCACAGCGTTGTCATGATCACTGGAATGGTCTAAGACTATAACCAAACAGTATTTTAAAGCGAAAGCAGCGCCTTGGATTTCAAGATTTTTGTTTATACCTGTATTAGGCCTAAAACTGGTTGTTGTTTACAGTCCTTTATAACTAAAGCAATTTGTTCTTCTTTTTCTGCAGATGTGGCAAAACCATCGCCACAAAAAGGTAACTACAAGTTTCTAAATTTTGAGCTCGCCCAAGTTGAGACGTTTACTGCCCAAACACAACACCAGTATTTGGACATGTACATGGGCGACATTGATGATCAATTTCTGTTTCAAAATACCAGTGTTTATAAAGTAATGACATGACACACCAACAAATTTGGCGACATTAGAATCCACGGCACTTGTAGTAGGACAGGTGTAAAGATACAGTAGTTCCTTGAAGATGCCAAAGGCGTTCAATTTGAAAACTAAATGGATCCAAAATGGATCGTTCTTTTCACTGATGTGGTAGTTAAATTCGGGGCTACGTTACCAAAAATGACCCTGTGACATTGACCTACCAGAGAGGAACGGGACTTGACCCCCCCCAGTTGTCATGTCGTTTGTGACGATAAAACCGTACATCCTCTGTGGCGTAACCCCCGGGATAGGGGATATCATCAGCTATAAGGGAGATTCTGGTCCCACACTACCCACAACGACAAATCCTGGGTGCGCACTGCTTTGCAGGATCTTCTGAACAGTTCTGTCGCCTAACTCACTCATACTGGGCGCTTTCCACGCAGGCCTCAGCGGTGGAGCAATAGCTGGCATCATCATCGGCGTGCTGCTGTTGGTAATTCTTGTCCTTGGGATCGGCTACTTCTTTATGAAGAATCGCCAGCCCAAGGGACTCATTGAGGACCCCGGACTGCCGTCCAGCACCAGCTTCGACAACGTTTTGTATACGCCCTCCTTGGAAGAGGTCAAACCTAACCCAGAGGTGTCATCCGGTACAATGAGTGACGCCTGAAGAGGGTGCCAGTGCTGGATAACTTGAATTGGCTCATTTAGAATTGCAGAATTCTTTGAAATATTAAAGCACTGAAACACAAAGTCTGGTTTGGGATAGGGAACTTAAAGTCAATACATATGTACATTGTATTTCCTCCAAAATGAAATCACGCGATAGCTCCTGAAACCCGCCATACAGTATTGTGTACAGCCTCTGTTTTACAATCAGAACATAGGCCTACAAGTGAAATTAAGTAAAACCAAGAAGAGAACTTTTATCGGGTGTATTTTACGTGGAGAGATTTCAGTCCCTTCTCACATGACGCAATCTTGCTTGGTTGTGATCGGGAGTTTAGTATTTGCGGTGGGTGGGACGTTATGAGCAAGGTTTGATTTCTGTGTTCATCGCCACAGTCTAAATGTTAACAAAGAAGCAAATGCATCTGTTCTTTTAGAAGACGACGTCGTGAAAACAAGTGGTTAAATCTAACACAAATATGTCATAGGTGTCTGTTTTTATGGTCGAAATTGCCTGCATTTACCGAGGGGAGCAACAGAGTTAATGATGATGTAGTTAGATGTCTATCCTAAAGTTTGTTTTCTAAATAGCTAAAGTCAGTTGTATAAGAATTTCTTTTTTCTTTGAGCAAATGTATCAGTATTAATTGTTTTGTTTCCTTTATTTTTGGTCCAATAATTCGATTATTGTCTTTCCATAAAATCTTTCCATTTAATTTGCATTATTTTGCTTACAGCATTAAGAACTGGTTCACACAATACTTCATGTATATTTGTGACACTCATCTCTGATATTTTTAGAAAATATACTGAACCGATGAAAATGAATATTAGTTAAGAACCCGGGCAATGTGCATGTCTTTAAAATTGCTCACTGTAATTTACATTTTGTGTAAGAACTCCTTTCTTATGCGATTTCACGAATCATCTTATTCTGACTTCCTGATTTGTCACTTAGCATTTTAATTTCTAGTTCGAACATTATATCTTACCAAACCGTTTTGATCAAACAACAGAGAAAAAATGGAGGCATGTTATCCTTCAGACTATCAAGTTCAAACTATCCTTATCGTAATAGTTTACTCTACTCGGTGCACGTAAACGGTACAATATGGTTTGGCTTAAACCTTTTCATGACACGTAGGCTGAGTAGAATGTAGAGTTAGTTTTCATCATTTCATACTGCACAGGATAGCCATTAAGTTACCTGGTGACGTATCTTTAATAAATTCTTTATATTTTATCATAAGCAATCAATAAATCCTGCCAGCAAAAAACGGCAATATTTTAAGACATTTACTGTCCATGTCTTTAATGCACGAGTATTGAGAGTACATTATCAGCATATACATTCAGAAAAAGGATTACTGCCTTCGAAAATTGAAAATGAAATTGTAAAACAAAGTTACACGAAAAGCCAATTAACACCAAGTTGCATGCCATTTCTTTTTTGTTACGAACATTGCGTATACTGTAGAGTTTATATATGAAACGGGGTAAGCGCCAGTTTGGTACTTTCTAGAATTCTTAATTCTCCTGGTTGCCCAAAGTCAGTTTTGCTGGGTTTAGTGCATACCAACACAGTTCAATAAATCAGTACAGCAAAAAAGGAAGTTCAAACACACCCAGTGGACTGTTTTTATTCCTTGTTATTGCACAATCGTTAACCAAAATTTCTGTTTTTCAAATAAATATATTACGCTTCTGAAATAACCATTGCTTTTTACGATTACATGGGTGATTCGCAGATTTCAATCAGGCCAATTTTTACCGAGCAAAAGAGACACATTTGAAAATGTCAAATGGTACCGTATGGTGTAAGGTCTACTTAATCGCAAATTTGGACAAGATGAAAACGGTATATTTCCAACTTGTTTAATTATCTGTATGAAATTTCTGGGTTTCTTGTTTCTTTTGTTTTTGTTCTGAAGAGCAATGTATTTTATTTCTCTCTTATCAGTATGACAATTTATTATCCTCCAATTTCCCTGATTCACCAATATCGTTGCCCGAAACTATACTGACCCAATATACGATTACTTGAGCAAATACTGTTGGTAAATCCTTAACTGCTATTCTTGTCAAAATCTTTAAAAAAGCTTTATTAAACGGAAAGGGCAAACATTGACCGTGTATTATTTATTAACAGCTTAAAAATTTATGTAATTTTAAAACCAAAAGTTTAGATTGCTCAGATTAACCATAGAGAAAGGACACAGAAGGAGTTGCAACTCAGGCACTTGAACATGTTCAATGATGGTCGCCGCCGAGTCAGACGAATAATAGAAAACATTCCAAAAATGTCTGATTACTGCCTGCATCTTAGCCGGACAAGCGGGGCCAGTAATGTCCAAGCAATTCTTGTATTTTTTATTGCAATTAAAATACAAATTATCGATGTGACCATAGAATAAAGGGAGAAAACTTCCTGATATTAGACCTGCTTTTGCCATCGTAAATAACGTAATACACTGTTCCATTATCCATGCAACGTTTGTAATTTTATTCTCCTCCGTCCAATACATCGGTGTTCAAGCACTTTGAACGAATTTGGCTAAAACTGGCCAACAAAATGTTCACTACTACTGGGAATCTTAGTTCATTCGCAACAAAATGCGCTATTTTATCACAGTGAGGGATCCCTTTTTGTACAAATGCCATAATAAAAATGATTTACAAAACACAAAATCTTCTAAGCAACTGGGCAATTTATTCCCAAAAGAACTCCAGTAGAAAGAGTTCATTAAGGGCAATGACTGCACATACAGATTTAGAGCACAAAGCGTAATGCAAGCAACTGCGCAAGCATTAAATTTGAAATAATGTCATGAGATCATACCAAGCACCAACAAAGGCATGAATATTCAATTTCCTATACCTCAGTACGCAAAGTTTTAAGGGTGCAGATTACCATCGACAAATTGCGGCGACGATCAAAGGGTATAAAGGGGTTTCGTGGTTGTGAAACAGATGGTGCGTAGCAAACGTTCGCTGTGCTCTGGCTATGGGCATACCGGGCATGCCAGAAAGCAGTAATTGGCCAGATGTTACAGCCCGGGCAGTTCAAACTCCTGTGTCCTTCCTCTATGGATTAACAAGTAGTTCGTACTTTACTGATCGGTGTTGCCAGATTTCCTTGTTTTTGAGAGATCCTCCTCATACACAAGCACAAAGAATGTAGCGACTATGCACAAGTATATGCATCTGTAACGATTCGTGCTAACTTTGACGGCATTAACATATAAACTCATAACTGATACGATACAAATGAAACGTAGCTAGGTGAACAAAATGGTAAATCACACAAAAATACACTTATATTCACTGCTATATGCAAGTAACCAAAATTATCCCGGTTAAAACTTGTCGGCATTCGGGGAAATTCAACATCTGTATTTATCATAATTTGGTCATGCGGAGAAATCAAACTGTGAATTACAGTACATGAATGTTGTAAATGGCCAACACCTATTTTGTGTTAAAGAACGCTTTTGGTCCTCAATTAAATAACCTCAAGGCAACACAACAGCCAAAGAATAAGGTGGATGGCCAACTGCTACCCACTTACGCACTGAGCATCACTCACAATCGGGGACGTGTCTCTGACGCCAAAGCTAGTCGTGTTCGTGTTGGATCGCCTGAATTTGGTCCAAATGACAGCCAGTCCAATGACCAACAGCGACGCTCCTAAGATGATTCCAACTATCAGGCCGGCTAAGGCACCGGGGGAAAGTGTACCGTCTAAGAGAATAATAAAGAGAGATACACATTGAGCAATTTGTTAACTGACATTTGGGAGTATGAGTAAGATACCGTAGGCCTCCACTGCTCAAATCAGGAGTTGCACGCACTGGAATTTCCACAACTATTAAAGGATATGGTTCGTATGAACTCATTAAAAACGGGAATTTGAATCGGTGAATAGGCCTTTTGGTTTGTACTTGCGGGATCACAAATCCTCCAGAAAACAGAATGCTATTCAGGGAAAACGACTGGTATTGAGTGGAGGGTCTTCTCAAAATTACGTGGCTTCACAGTAGCAACGACATCAGAGGGAATCAACAGCTTGTGTCGCAAAATAAGCACAATACAGTTCGAAGTTTTAAACATTACCTGACGTTGGTTTCGATGTCGGAAGTGCAACTGAAAATCAATCAAAGAATGCAAATACGATTGAGTGCACTGAATATCAAACAACTGCTTCCATGTGAGTTAGCCTTGAGCGTGACTAGCGTTATGGGTATACCGATTGGGTATATTAGCTTTCAGGAATTGGCCCAACATATTTCAACTTGCAGTTCTACGTGATACAACTCAAAGTCATTTCCATTATCCCCAAAGTCTGAAAAACATCCCAAATTTAGCCCTCCAGCTTGGAAAAACACAAGGCGCATAAAATATTACATTTTTGCATTCCCCAGGAGCAAAAGTGTTATCCCTCAAAACTTGGTTCAAGATCCGCCCTTAGACCATTCTACAGATGCTGCGAGCAATTATACGTTACCTAACTCTTGTGTTTTTTCTTTGTATTGAATGTGGGGAACTGCATAATTTATACTTGGTAAAGGTATTGCATTTTAATTTCTTTCAGAAAGATTAGAGATTACTTAAAAATGTCATAAAAGAGTAATACCCTGCTTCAGAATTCAAAATACTAAAGATCAAGAAGAATCAACGATACCAGTAAACACAGTATTAAAGCGTTTTAAAAGTGAAATGGTTATACCAGGAAAGATATGGGACGGAGGGGTACCCCCCTTACCTGTCCAATCCCTATACACAATGTAGACTATTGTTACCTAACACATCCCCCCCTAAAAGTCTGTAAAGAATTGCTGAGATTCCGATCAAACCAACACAAAGGCGGGGGGGTTCTCTCCGTCCCATATTTTGCTTCAAATGGAAATGGTGGTGAGATCCCTGCCTTTCAACGCCCGCCTCAACGCTCGCCTTATTACACAGTCATGCCCCCCTGCACATGCCCAACAATGTTTCCCCCATCATGGACTCACTCTGGTCCCTCTTGCACACGTAACCAGCAGAAGACGTGCAGTTGACCATTCCCCATTTACCGGCCTTGAGTCCAACGCAGTTGTCTGGGCCGGTGGTAGAGTCCGCAGTCTCCCAGTTGACATAATCGACTGGCTCTCGTGTCTCGAACAATATTGGTTCCCACTGCAGGTTTCCTGTTGAAAGAAAACTCAGTTAATTGTTAAACTTGAAGTATCAGCATACAAACGCTCGTTTTTTCTATAGGCCTATATTTGTATCACAGAATTTGTGTTCCATGAATGGTTTTCCTTCCTGTTTGTGAAGTACTAAAGTCTTTATGCTATATAACTTAATCAATTTCACTGGATGTAGTGACTGGCCAACTAGTCTCATTATATTACCTTTAAAATCTCGGCTCATTCCAAGCCAAAAGGTCCCTCCGCCTACGGCCTTAGCTTGCTCCGTAAGAAATGTGTTCTCAGCCTCGCTGTGCACGGTAGACAGGTAGCAAGCATATTGGTAGTCGCAGACTGAGCTGGCATGGCCCCAAGTCCCTGACTCTGTCTCCTCCGACTTGGAGACCAAGAGGTAACAATGGCTCCCCCATGCAATCCAGTCATCAAGGCAGTAACCTGTCACGTACGGCGGTGCAGTGGATGGCGGTAAAGCTGTACAAAAAACGCGCAAGTTTACATAGGAACAACGGCGACACAATAAATTGGATGCTGAAGAAATTCAGTCCCTTTCTCCTTACATGGAATTTCAACCTAACTATAAATGCTATTTTGTTGTCAATGCTCTGTACAGGGTGTCCACATAAAAAGTATACCGAGATAAAAAGAAAAATACATTAAAATGTAATGTCAGATGTGCATTTCCACGAATGGTAGCCATGTGGAGGGCACAGAACATTAAACGTATGGTATAAGTAGTGAAAACAAAGCAAATTAGATTCATTCAAGTAGACTCCTTGATTTTAAGAATGTGTTCTTAAAGCAAAAGCCTTTCATATTCTGCATACTTGCATGGTCTACCCTTGTTAATCAAATATGCAAATTTGTCACAGTGCCGATTTCCGTACCCTTAACATCGGTCTAGTTTGTTCACTCATCTGTATCAATAACATCACAAGCTGTATACCATTGCAAAGAGGACGTTCCCCCATTTTTCTATATATGAAGTAGTTTTGCCGTTACATGTACAGTAATTTTCATCTTGGTATATACTTTTGATGTGGACACCATTATTTCATGAGCACCAGGGTCAGGCTTGTTGTTTTTACAAAGTGCAATTTACTACGCTGCATGTCAAAAAACTGTGGTGTACATTCAACACTTTGGACGCCCATACAAGAAAACGTTATCCTTTGTGGAGTGAATCTAATACCAATCAAACACCACAGATATTTCTTAGCAATATGGACACCATTATTTTGCTGGTAATTAGATTTTTTTCTAGTTGTTCACACTTTCAAGAGGTATCCTTCGAAAAAAATCCATTCCAAAATACTTTTCTCTCAACAGTAAAGATGAAATGCACATACTAATTTATATTTGTTAGGAATTTGACATGTGACGTTTACCTCCTAAACACAGTTGCCATAATTTTGTTTACAATGTGATGATGAGAAGGACTGTGATTAAACTGCTAAGCACAATTTTGACAGTGTGCACAATGGGGAGGTTGCGAGTAATTGCACTTGCGCTGACGTTTTGGAAACGAGGAAACAAAGGATCCGCTGTGATTGTACTTACCGGTGTTTTTGCATATGGTGGCCTGCTTCTCAGAGCATGCTGTGTCGGACCAGAATCCCTTGGTATCCACGGCTACACACCCATGACCGACTGCGTTGGTCCCGCTGGGCTTACCGGCTAGCCAGTTTGTGTACAGGAACGGCCAGGAATCAAGCCAACGGAAGGCGTGAGTTTCCTGTCCAAACACAGGCGATAAAAAAAGTGAACAAGTTCAATGTTTGATGATGACACTTTCGACTACACGGTTTGGAATCAGTCAGGTTCAGTTGGAAGAAAATCGCACATTGTTGTGCATGAGACGTTTAATGTAGAGACCGTATTAATTTGTGGCTAACATTAAAAAAGCGACTTTTAGGATACAGAATTTCAATTTTCAGTTTGAAAGGTTAAGTTTGTCAAAGAACCTGCCATACATTTTGTTTTTAATTGTCTTTCCCATTCAACACACTTGAGATCACAAAATCGTGCTTTGCTATACCACAGACAGGGGCGAATAGTACACAAATATTGACTGCTTCGAATGGTCTTGTAATCAGCCTCCTTCATCGATCCACAGAGCATTCTACTTTCCCAAGGCGAAGGCACATGATATTCGTTTAAACGCAACGCCAGTGATGATGCGTGTAGTTCTTTGATTGCTACGGGTACAGTTCTTTTTGCCGAGGAAATCAAGACACCACAAACACAGAATGCCACTGACTAGCTCTCTATCAATTAAGATACAGAATTCTAGCACTCTTACCTGGAGTCCATGCCCTCTCGGTACACTTGTTAACGAAAGTAGTTCGTTTCATTTTTTTAGGGGGTTGTTTAGTTTTGTACTGTTTTTGGTTTTGTTTTATGATAGTTTCAGTGTTGACTGGAAGGATCTAATCATTGTCACCTCGTCCTTTCTCAGTCCAATCCAGGCATGGTTGGAGTCGTTCAAGTAAAGCATCAGCCTGGTCAGTGCGCCATCGTAGTCATCCCTGATGGTTGCAATGGTGTTGCCGTCTGACCGGCAGAATGCCACGGCATCATCAAATGACATAGATGTGGTGTGGTACCGGAAACAGCCGCCGTGGAAGCTGACGTATCCCGGTTGGTCACAGCTGTGAAGGTAAGCTGGTTGAACTTTGAAATCTGGTGCTGAAAAAAGTTTAAAGAGTGTGTTGTGTAATTAATTTGTAAGCGTGTTTAAAGCCTGAAGACTTTCGTAAGGCACGCTTATCGATATTCACGATAAAATCAACTCAGTCGCTTTCATCTCACGAATACTTGTAATCCCCTTTGTCCTCCATCACACTCACGCAAATTCTTTTAATTTTCAGGAATAACGAAGTCATACTTGGATATGAACACCAATCATAATAGTGGAACGTTTACGAATCTTCTGGTCTTTCTTACATGCATCTGTCGTGCAAGCGAAATTGGATTTGGTTTCACAAGGTATGTCTTGCCATCGTCCTGGGTCCAAGGTGTCATTACGCATGACCACACAGATGGTTTCCTTCAGTTAAAAAACAAATCACATGAAATAGTAGTTGACTGAGTATATCGCCAGAACAAATCAATTTCTTCTGGCGCAGCGAACGCAGCGAACGAGCAAAAATGCTCCGAAAATTACACCGACGAATGGATACGCAACAAATGCTTTGTATCAGCAACCTCATATAATTGAGACGGTCCGTACAGCTCTTCTTTTTAAGCCCATGGGCAGGAACTTGATTTTTATTAATGCCATTTACATTGTAAGTGCAGCTGTTGGTTGCGATGTTGAAACAAAGTTCGATAAACTGCAGTAGTTTAACCAAGTATTTCAAGCTTGTAACCTGCATATTAAAGCTAGTCCCATTTTTACTAGCCTAAAATCTGGAATACAGTATTGCATGTTACATGTTGAACATTATTGTTTTCTTTATAATACAAATTTACTTGTTTTCTATCTCATCTGAAGGGTAATTCTGTAGATAATGACCTGCGTAGAATGCACTTCAAGGGGGTATCACGTGAGTGACAATGACGTCATTGTGAGACAATCCAAATACCATCTACAACACTTGCCTGTCCCTAATAATGCACACTCTGACCTTTTTGGCAAATGTTCTCAGGAGAAAGAAAAGTCGGGGAAATTAATTGTCCAAAAAAAAGAAAGGACCAACCCATAAAAACCATTGGACCAGGCACATACCAGTGTACCAAACGTTACCAAGTTTATAGGTGTTTCGTCCCGAAACCAGTTGGTGTAGTCCAGGGGCGAGCCGTCGCTCCAATGGAACTGGTCGGTCGCACCGATGTTGCTAAGGCCGATCCAGAGCGTTTGGTTAGACGGTTCCATTAAAGTCGTCAGCATCGCTGAGAGGAACAGAGTTAGAAGGCACTAGGCATTTCTGTCCTTTGCTCGCAAACATGAGAACAAGACTTGACTTCAAACAATTACAGCTCTGATGATTCCTATGGGCCAAAATTCATATTGTAATGACTTAAGTAAGGCTGAGTTCTATAGTAACCGGATAGTGACAAGTACGGAAGTGTATTTAGGACATGATTAAAAAGTCTGACCCACTATTTCTCCCGGAAGGATTATTATAGTGTGCCCAGGCGAATTAGTATTCAGCCCAGGCAAATAAGAAGGAAAAAAAAAGGTTTTTTACTTGTGTCCTAAATATGCTTCCGTAGTCAAAGGATAGGATACAAACGTTTTTTCCAACACATGCATTGGCACCAATTTTGGCGGACGCCATTTCAAACCTATCGGCTGCCACATATAACCAACGTTTACCCTGTTCCCCAACGTTCAGAATGACGGCCAAGGACCCATCATTGTACTTCCTGCATTCGGCCGCGGCGTCCATTCTCGTCTTCATGTTCTTAGCTCCTGAGAATACCTTGAGGCACTTCGCCTTGGCCTGCACCCAACCATCGGGGCATCCACCGGAGATGGGCGTTTCCGTGGGCGTGGCAATGGTCGAGGTAGTGTTCTGAAATTTCTTGCAAATATAGTTTTCTTTCACCCCGCAATTCAGGTTATTCCATTTCCCACCTATGTTTTGTTTTGAAAGAGGAAAGAAGGAATAATTACTTTATTGTCTACAAAATACCTTGATTTTTATTTTAAAAGTTTCTACTTAGCAATGCTACATGTTTGGGGAAAAAATTCGTTGATATATCTTCAATTAATTTCCTGATCTTTTTTGTTTGCTTATGTGATTGTTTGGCTTCTTTGTTTCTTGTTTCTTGTGCAGTGAGAAAAAAGAGCATCCAATTTACCCAGCATCATATTCATCTCGACGCACTTCTCTTCACCAGCAAAATCATTAGGCTGCCCCTCGTCCCAGAAACGGAAATCAGACGTTACGTCATCAGACCACCTTAAAGAGACAGAAAATATTAAACCTTTTCTACGGGGTTTTGTGCTATTTATCCATTTCGTGAAAAATAAAGCAAAGCTGTCAATTTTCAACTTCGACAACTACGTAACCAAAGTAATTTTTGATGGCTTCTTTCATTTGCTGTTAATTTCAGTTATGGATACAAGAGCAGTGATCAGTGGCCGAGCCAAAGGGAGTACAGGTGGAGCAACTGCTCCTCCCCCCCCCGGGAATTGCTGCCCCTCTTGCCCTACACCCCCTGGAATACTGAGAGTTTTCGAGGGGAGCTGTCGCCATTTTATTTTTAGTGCCGGAAGGGGGACTCTTGCTTCCCCTTCCCTCCAAAGCGCCTGGCTACGCAATTAGCAGTGTTCATCTACAGTTTGGCGATTCCGTGATCACAAGCAAAGACCGTATAGCGTATAAGATCTTTGATCACAAGTCTAAAGAATGATTCTTTTCTGAGTAATCTACTCACTCGTAAGTGTTGTCAGAGGTCTCCATTAAACCAATCCAGAATCGTGGAGACATTTGTAGACGCTGCCAAAAAATACAAAGCACTGAAGAAAATAATGTTTAGCCGTCTATGATGCCGCCGGAGGTCTGCACCCATTTTGCAGAGATCTACGCCATAATCTTACACGCAATCCATTAAATTAATTTTGTGAAAGAACACACTATACGTTCATTCCCAATTTCAAATTTTCTACCAATTCTCTCGCAGTCAGTTTGTAAACAAGTTGAAATTCCTCATGATATAGGTATAGCAAGACACTGTTTAATTGACCATGAAATGTTTGGTTCCTGAACATGCTTATAAGTGATATAGCGAGACACTGTCTAATTGAATAGAGGCTGAGTTCGGGCAGCTTGTTCTCGTATGTTCACGAACAGCTCGATTTGTTGTTCGTTGGTCGGCTGCTCGAACGCCGGGAACAAACAACCGGTTATCGCTGGTAGTTAGTGACAAGCAACATGCAACATGGCGGCGTCCATGTAGACTACGTTATTCGAGAGTTAATGTTTGGATGGGCTGAATTCTTTTCTATATAAACAGGAACATTTATTTATGTGTTACGGAAAATAATTAATGTTAATTTTGCAAATCCTCCCATTGTCTACGGCTTTGGAAGCCATCTCTCTACTTTTTGCAGATGTTCAAAAATCAAAATCTCACGAGGTTTTCCGTGTGTTCCTGTAAAACCCCGACGTGACGAGGAGGTGGTGTGTGATCGTGTTCCGAGAACAGTGTTCTTGAGTCGTGTTCCCGCCGTTCGAGCGCGAGAACAAGAAACCTGTGTCAAGAACAGGCCGCCCGAACTCGACCGAAATGTTTGGTTCCTGATCATGTTTACAACTGATATAGCGAGACACTGTTTAATTGAACATGAAATGTTTGTTTCCTGAACATGTTTACAAGCGATATGCCGAGACAGTTTTTAATTGCTAAATGCAGTTTTTGAGGTGTATGAACCTCGAGCTGGACCAAGCGATGGCGCAATTTTCATAGCAACAGAGGCTCCTTTGGTGGGACCTGCACCTTTGGGTTCACAAACGACTATGAAATGTATGCGTATACAGGGGGTTCTTCTGTTCACCTCAGAACAATTGGATGGTGCTCGATACAGTATCAACCAACAGGACTTTGCTGATCGTCCTTACCATGCTATTGATGAAGTCTTGCTCCGGTTGGCTGGTGATGGACGCCAGATACCCTCCCTGCCTGTTGCACTGCTGCTGGGCCTCGTTCCAAGTGGCTTGGTGTGTGTTGGGGTCGGACACCAAGTAACAATAGTCGCCGAACGATGCCCAGCCTGGTGTCCCAGAGCACACCGTGGCTGGGGAGGGGGAGGGAGGCAAGGAAAGGTCAGGGAAGTTCTCGGTGACGTGTCCAGGGGAAAGTTTCATGCCCCTAGCATAGCACATTCCTATTATGGGCATTCCCAACCGACATTTGCTGACATTTTTAATACATTGAAAGTGCCGAAAGTATAGAAACGGCACCACCACGTTTCTTATTATACCGGTATCCACTTTACACCACCCTGCAACACCCCCCCCCCAAAAAAAGACCTAAATACGACACCGGTAGTCGTAAGACGACATCAGGGAAGGTATGTTACTGAACTCAGATTTCCGCATACCATTGTTAATAAAGAATACATGTTCACACACAAGGTAGTCAATGCAGAAGCTTGCTGAACAATTTATTTTTTACCAATGAATTATCTTATAAGTTGTCTTCCCGTTGAAGGTCTCGTATAATTTTGCAGATGTTTTCCAATTTGTTGAATCTGAAAGGTTATACTGTTCTTTTAATTAATTCCATTACATTTCATTGCTTCTCTCCATGCCCCGTAAGTACCTAAGGGCGCTCAAAACAAATGGACTTCAAGTTGAGGCCTCTGCCAGAACTGGTCAGTTAGGATGAAACCAAATTCATTGTGACATAAGGAAGGCAACTGCCTAGAAATTTACTGCCAACAAGATGGACTTACATTTAGGGGGGTCGTCCTCTTGATCTGTGGGAACCAAAAGATTCATAATACGTTCAAACATTCTAGCATTCCAAATACAGGCATGGGTGAATGTATACAAAAGGTGCTGCTTTACTAAGCATTGGTGTGGTTTTTTATGTAAAGATTTCATTGTAGCATGGCATCGTGATTGAGTCTATTTTACATCTAACGGCGACATTTTCATGCCAAGTTGCTTTCTTTGACCCAGAATTTTAGAGCGGATACGCTTTTGACCTTAGTTTGTCGTTTATCTTATTACAGAAACACGGATCCAGTATTTCCAGGTGTTGTTCATATTCACTCACATTGTGGCATCGTGCAGACATGACTAGAGATCAGACCACAGTTGACAGTCTTCCACAGCCCGTCTGTTCTAGTCCCCATCCTCACACATTTCTGTTCGTCATGCACGCCTGGTTCCTCTGGCGCCCAGTTATCATAATCTACAGTTGAGTCGTCTTCCCATCTAAAACTGTTGCGCACTGCTGCCCAAAAGGAGAAAAGAAATTTCAAGTCCAAGGTCGATCGTCTTCAATGCATCCGCAGACATGGCTGCTTAACAAGTGACTTACTGACGTACAATTTTGCTCACTGCGCTATTACCAGCAGGAAAGGGTTCACAAAATGAAAACTTTGCCAGAGGAAGTCCTCACTGCATGATCAGACTTCTTAAAAACTGGGCAAGCTTACCCTCGTAGTCCCTCTCCAATCCGATCCACACGGTCGCATATCCCGCGTCTGCCGCCCTCTTGCGGATGAACTCGTTCTGTTGAGCAGTGTGGATGCTGACAAGCCGAGATCCGAAGTTGAGGAAGCAGTCGTACTGCGCTCGGTTGCGGTTGAGCGGAGTGGATGAGGGCTTGAACAGGTAGCAGTCGGTGCCATGGGACTCCCAGCCGTCGGGACATGTTCCATTAATAATTGGTGCAGCGGTTGGGGGGTGGTGGCCTCCTACAGTACAGAGATTGGTAGAGTGAACGAAAAGCTCGCATATGGGGTAGCTACTTCGGAAGTGGGCACCAATGCTGCAAAGGAACTACCCTGCAGAAGGTATATCTCTCGAAAGAGCTGGAGCCTTGCATAATATAAATGAACATAAACTACCTGTGTATGTGCCAACTACTTTGAGCTTTCCCTAAATCGAAAATTCAGAGAGATACAGCATAAACATAATCTGTGTGCACGTGGTTGCTGGTGGGTGGGGGTGTGAGTTTGTTTCTACATTCAATTGGGGACCCTGAACAATAGAGGACAATGAGGTCCCCAATTGACAGAGGGTCCCCGATTGACAACTGTGTACAAAACATATGGGTGGTCTTCTGAAAAAGTTAAAGTACAAACAAAAGAGGACCAATAGGGGGTCCCCAGTTGCAGGCAAATACACACTTGGATGTGTGTGTGTAGGCTCTGGGCATAATGCCAACTGTGCCCATTGGATTGTCTGTTCCTGCGTTTAAACCTACTTTACATTACAATACCCTAACGCGACAGAGGGCGCTAGGCACAGGCGCTGGATAAGATTATAGATGGCGCTTCTGCACGGTAACGGAGGCGGGCAGATGTACAGTACATGTATACTTTTGTGTAGCTGTGTGTTAAGCGAGCACGGCGCATAGACTCCGCCTCGTGCGTAGGGCGATTGGTTAGCAGAAGTCACTGCTTAACAACATGCGGCGCGCGCGCAAGCGTAGTCGCGGCAGCGGCCAGCTCGCGAGGCTATATAAGGCGCGACGGGAGGACGTGTTGCGGCAGAACCTTGCATTTGGTTTGATCCTGCTGGTGTAGGCAGAGCAAGCAACTGAGAGAGCGTGAAGGTGAGGCCCTCGTACGTTGGGTCGTTAGCGTGGCTAGTTACTAATCCCAAGTAGTGCGTATGTTGTTAAGGGGCTTGGTAGGTTGAGGGGCTATTTGGTGGTGTGGTAAGATCTAAAGCTCCTTGTGGGAGCTTTCGTGAGTGGCGTAACCCTTAGATAGCCCTTTGACTTATTCAGGTCCCGGTGGCACTAGATGCACACAAGTAATTGTGGGGCCCACTGCTCCAGGCAAAGTCTAGTCGCACAGTCCTCCCATTAAGACCGCCCTATACTGGTGTATTGGTTGTGTGAAAGATTGAGGGGCATTAATGAATAAACCATGTCATTTTGTTGTTGTACACGAATCAGGCATCCAAGGGTCGTTACTCCGAGTCTCAGGCCGTCTTATTTTGTGAGTCACGTGTTGTTTTAGTTACGTCACGAGGCACCGGGCCAATTACGTCAGACCTTCTGGTGCCTAACAGCCCAGTCAACAGACCGGGACGGTATATATACTTCCATTCCAACGGACTCGTCTCTAGCCGCTCAGAGACTTTCCAGTACGTGCTGTCCGCCGTCAGCCTTGAGGAGGAGGGCGCCCTTGCCTTCGTCGGAGGGCGTTGCGCCACATTACATTTTAAGGTTCGCCTTTGCTTGGTCTTGACTGGGGTGGACTAAGCGGGGCCTGGCCAGATTAGGCCTTGCTAGGCTGTAAAAAGAAAGGTCTGGCTCGAGCGGACAGCTGGTTGCGCCGATAAAAAGTGCAAGTTTTGAGGGAGAATTAGGAATTAGGCAGATACTCGAATGAGTTTAAGTTCGGCTGGGCCTGGCAAATGTTACTTCTTTGGAAGTAACTAGATTTCACGATGTGATGTGACTTAGGCATTACAACATTAATATGTGAAGTAATTCACTTCTTTATGAGATAGTGACGAGGATTCAGAATTGGAGGCACTCGGTCCATTTTTTTTCTTCAACGTACATGCAATGTCGGCCGGGCCTTTTCCCCAAAATACTCACCGATTCGGCTCTTGCAGAAAAATGGGTATTCCCGTCCACAATCCCTGTCAAACCAAGCGCTTTCCTCCCCCGAGGCTTGCAAGACCGTGCAATTCAACCGACCCTTGTTATAGTTGGGGTCATACTTGCTCCACTTGGTAAATGTTACCGAATAACCGTCCAACCATTTCAGCTGGTTTGTCACCTGATTGATGCAACAAGGAAAATTAGGTCTGAACTGAGTTTGTATTACTGTATGGATTTAAAGCATCAATTCAAACTGCAGGGGAGGATATCTCCGTCCAGTTTTAATCGATTTTATTTTCAGATAAATGATGAAAATGAGGGATAAAGGGTCTTACCCCCAAAACGTACATTTCTTGCAAAATGTTAAGTATCAACGCAGGGGCCGAGAAATTCTGCGTTTTTCTTTGGTTGCAATCAGGCCGTACATGTAAATGCCCACATACACACGAGGTTCTTTCAAATTAGTTTGGAACTTTCCACAAGTGTAGACGATGGGGTCAATATTTCGGCGGGGATTGGCCTGGGGGATGAAAAACTGCTTAGGGTTTAAATACTCCAAAAATTGGGGGGGGTGCTGGACACCACTTTACACTAGGGTTCGCTGCCCATGATGTATATGTCATGCATACTTACACCCCTTAACCTTACATCAAAACAGCGATTTCGAAGCTTCTGTACTTTTCCCTTTTTTAAGTGTATACCTACTGACTTGAAAAGTTCACAAAACTGAAAATGTGGCGGGGATCCAGTAGCTCATCCCGCATGCCCAAAAGTGGCCCGCCTCACAGGATTTATGCCCCTATGTATAGAATATTGTTTTGTTCAAAGTTTATGCTAAGTTTTATTGAAATGAATTTATAGACAACTGAGACTGCAAAAGACAAACAGATATGCTCTTAGGGGGTTAAATATGGCCCTGGGAAATTGAGGAAAATATAGGCCTCCATCGGGCCCAAGTAGGCTAGGGGCCCAATTCAGAACAATAGTTTCAGCCATTCATACCGACTCTCTCCGTAAGCCGATCCACGCATTGTTTGTTACGATCGACCCGTTCTCGATTTGCTGGTACAACATGTACTCCATGAAGGCATTGTCGAAGCCATTGTCAGCGGTTGCTAGGAAACTGTCTACTGGGGAGTCAGTCTGACACACTTTCTCTGCCTCCTCGAATGTCCTGGGAGTCGTATATAGCCGGAAGCATGAAAAGAAATAGTCGGTGTAGTCTGCCAGGCACTCAGATAGTCTCTTGTGCGTTTCTAAATCGACTGAATGGAAATATTAGGGTTTTAACGTTTAGTTTCAAGTAGTTTTATTGTAAGTTTTACAAGGCAAATGCGTTTGAACCGTTTTGAAATGGTCTTTTTTCTTTTTCTAACAGGTCACGCTGCATAGCAGGTTTATCTGTTACACTGTTACACTAAGTTTTAAACCTTATGACTGAACGTACGTGCTTTAACCTGACAAATGTAGGCATTTTTCTTGGAGCACGGGACATCATACCAGCGGCCAGGGTGGTAGCGGTCATTGAACAGTTCCACACAGTCACTTCCCTGTTGGAAAAACCAATATTTCATGTTTAATAGAAATTCTTTGCTGATAGTAACAGCGTTGTTCTACTCGACCCCTGAGGGATGATTACAAAGAACAGCAGACGAGCCTAGCGCTTTATCATAGGGCAGCCATCTTGTAAAAGCAATGCAACCAAACTGAGGCTACATCCGAATCTGTTGTCTAGGGCTAGGTCTAGATCCATACTCAATTTGAAATATGTGGAGACGCGTAGACAATAGACCTAGCCGTAGCTCTGGAAGCCCGTTTCGGACACGGCCTGGGGCTAGAAGGAAAAATGGTCTGTTTCCTTTTATCAAAAGTTGTATTACTTTTGTCATTTATTTAGTATACAGGGAACAAGACAAAAATGGCAATGGCAGCATTATGACAAAGGTCTAAGGCTGCCTTCGTCTACTTTTCCCACACCCCCTTATTCTGTTAATGTTCATTTATCATCACTCCCCAGTCGTCGAAATGATCTACACCTTTGTCGAAAAGAAAAATTCACAAAATGATAATGATGAGACAGGTAATAATTATTCTTTGAATAATAAATATCAGGTGATAGATATCAGCTGCTTTTAAAATGTCGGAACAAGGGCAGAAAGAAGGCAGTTACAGTCACTGAAACAAATCCATCTTTGGAATAGTGGAACAAGACAGTCTCTAGCGTTACTTCTAAAGCAAAAACGTCCGCGTCGCTGAAGAGTTGGTTGGATTAAACTATTAACGTTGGGGCCAGTTCACTATATAACAAGCTTGCCAGTCCAGGTTGTCTTTTAATCCAACACTGTTGGGGATTTTGCTGTCTTATATTTTCATTACTTTGGCCATCGGTTGGTTTTTTTTTTCAGTTACATGATAGCATGGGTTTGGGAGTTAATGTGCGGTCCACAAAGTGAATAAGACAGCTCTGAGATATAACAATGATAAAATTGAAGTGTTCTTATCAACAAGACCCCCCGCAATGAAAGGTTAATGGCAGATATTTATCAAACATCATTTGGGAGTGACACGTTGCATATGTTTGGGCCCTGTAAAACACGCAGTATGGAAATCGAATGTCTTTCGTTAAAAGTTACTCTTTTACACGTGGGTGCATTGTAACTGGCTTTGGCCTAATAGACTGTGGCCTTGTCGTCGGCCTCGAATGCTGTGACTCGGTCTTGGCCTTGGGCTCAGAGACCCATGGCTCTGACTCAGCCTTGGCTTCAGAAATCATGGGCTCGACTACAGCACTAGGCCGTCGTTAGATTCGCCTTAATGGGTTTGAAGAAATTTCTTGAAGGTCAGTGATCGCCGGGGACCTTTTCCGGTTTTACCATTTTTCTCACTTACAAATCCAGGGATGAGGCCGAAGCCATCTGGCTGGAATGGTGCCCAGTTTTGGTATCTCAACTCGCTTTTATCCACCCATTGGAAACCAGGCTCATTTTCGTCAAAGATACCTTGGGATAGACCGATCCACGAGTTGGTGTCAAACACGAAGCCCGAGATGGCTGTGAGCAGAGCTGTGGAGAAGGGTTCAACAATAATTCAAACAAAATAGCTAGACTAAAATTCGCAGCATTCCAAAATTAA